GTGCCATGGGGACGAACCAGACCAGGTCACTTAAAAACACCCTGCAACAAAGAAACTTTGCTTTTTGCATCAGCTAGCTTGCGCATGCTTTTGCTCTCTGCCCCCTTTCGCCTGCCCGGACACCGCGCCGCCACGCGATTGGGTTACTACGAACTTCCACGCAAACCTCTTAAGTTTCGGGACTCCCAAAGCTGCATGAACTTCCGCAAAACCGACTCTCAGCAGTCCGTCACCTAGGTAACCCAGGACAACAGCCATTCACGAGCGCGTGAATCCCAAAGACGTCATTGAAGCGAGAAACCACCCAATCAGGAGCACCGTGTTTCCCCAAGGCCAGCCGGCGAGGGAGATTCGACTTCAGCAAAAAGGGCGCAAGTAACACAAACTAATGTTGTCTCTTGCTGATCTTGTGCAGATTGATCTTAAGCAGTTAAAGATAAGCCATATCTCTGCTTTTGTGGTTTCTCAGGTGTTATTCTAAGATCTTGCAAGAAGTATTAGAATTAATTTGGGACGTTGTCAACTCATTTTGCATCCTCTGAACTTCCTCTGTGTGTATGTGTGAATGTGTGTGTTTGTTTGTTGTTTGCTTATTACGTAGTTAGTTTCATTTATCGTAGTGTAGCTCAATAAATCTTTGTACTCATTTTGTAAGAACTGTGTTCTTGTTTATGTGCTTCTAAGTCATTGCCTCGAGCTGTAGATCTTGTTACCTTGCTAAAAGATCATCCAATACTGTGTTATGTTATTATCGTTGGCCACGTAAATAATATTAACAAGATTGGTAAGATACGATGTCTTCTATTTGCGGGACAAATGGAAGATAAAGTGTGAATCTTTTAATCTGATTCAATCTGACTCAGTTGAGTCGAACCAATGATTCGAATCTTCAGGATCCGATTCATTGAAATGAGCTAATAAACCCCTGATCGATATTAAAACGTAGGTTGATCCCCTACACAGTAGCCGTTCATGAAGGCTCGTATGTGTTTGTTTCCATGATCCACGGGGTTTGTTGCATGTTTTTTTCCCCGCGATCTTGTCAGGGCCGATAATACAGCAAAGCTCTGTGTGTGCTGCAAGCTATTTTGTCGGGAGAGCAGTACGAGAATTGTAGAATGGCGGACGTTGACTTTTATCAGGAACTCGTTCACATTTAGACACATCGCCGTGCTGCTGTGTTTGCCAAAATCCTCCAGATTACCAGCAGGGCTAATGGTTAAAATAGGCAGGTCAGGAGACCTGCTGCACTGAGTCTGCATTCAGATCTATAATAGACCCGGGGATCGAGAGAGAATCCTCATTTATAGTGTTTACATGAACACACTTATCTTTATATGATATAAATTAAGGTTATGTGTATATGAAATTATGAATAACAAATGTAGCAGGGAATTAAATTACTGTCTATTTCTTTGCATTTTAACTTTGTGAACTATAAACTCATGCGTCTCCTCACGGTTTGTGTCTCATTTTGTGAGCTAACTGACAACAACAGTTGTTCTCTCCCCTGCTGGCCACGTCCACTCCTGCCCTATGCTCACGGAGCTCCACGCCCATTAATCATGCATCTTTTGAAAAAATTCTGAAGTAGACTTTAACCGAAAGTGGGGGGTGTCATGGCCCTTTAAGGGGTTCAGAGCCGATGAGGTGCGCACATGACAGTTGGAAATAAACACGGACAAGCACATTTGCATGTGATTTAAAATGAAACTATTCAGATGGCGCTCCGTGGTGTGGCAAAAATATGAACAGTGTGCCGACTGGACACTGCAGACAGCCGCCGACTTGCAGCGCCGGTGTGCATAACCTAAAGCCTATGGTTGCATGGCGCTGAGTGGCGCATCCAGTGTGTCACCCCCTTTAAGATGGTTTTGCTGCAGACAGTTACAACCCTTTTTGCATCCTTGTTAAAACTCATATTGCTAGCAGTTAAAAATGTATGTTAATTTGGCAAGCTGAACACATTCTGTACTGTAAAGGAGACATGGAGGAGTTTGATTGACAATGGTCTACAGCCAATCAGGATGTAGAAGACAATGCGCTGTTAAAAAAAAAAAAAAATCTGCAAAACTGCGAGACCACGAAAGGTGAACGGCGTTATAGCGAGGGACCACACATATATAAAACATGCCACTGCTGTCCTTCGAGCAAGTTCACAACATGGGCCATCTGTAGTCCAATTAAAGCAGTGGTGTCCAATTTTGCTACTGAAGAAGCACTATACTACTTAGTTGGACTCTAATTTTAACTGAACACACACAAATCACCTAATCAAGATCTTTAAGATAACGAGAAATTTGTTTTTGATGGTGCACTCACACTATGCTATCCGAACTGTGCCCGGGCATGTTTCCCAGTTTGTTTAACAAGTGTGAGTGCTCCAAACTGGGCCCAGGCGTGGTTCAGTTAGTCACCCCTGGCCCTGTTGGACAGTGTGCCAGAGTGCATTTCGTTTGGGTTTTGGCATGCTGCGCTTGTAGTGTAAGTGCAAAGCACCCCTGAGCGTGAAACTCAAGACTCGACATAACTTTTAAGGAACCATTTCATATAGATTTATGAATCATTCTTACTTTTCAATGAATGCGAACAGTCACAATTTATCAAAGATACAAACTCCTCAATGCACTTCAGCTGCAAACCTTCTATTACCTGCAGCATGATAATTTATGAGCGTCAAAAAAAAAGGATCTGTTTCACAAAATATTTGACTGTGTGTGACTGCATCCCAAACAACTAAAAATAATACAAAACGATATAACTAAAGAAATATCCACTGTGCTGAGTGAGAGCGCTTCTCTTCCTGTTATACTGAACAGTCATATTATCAATGACGTAAGCGTGCTCTGGCTCAGAAGGTAATGCAATGGGAGTACATGCCGTCGAGGGAGGGAGGAGGGGGACAATCATGCTTTGGCACGAATCAAGGCAACTGTACCTAGTGTGAGTACCCCCTGAAGGTAAAATACAAAGGAAACTGACCATTCAGGAGAAGATCAGAAGGAACCAACCTACAATAAAATGTGTCTATTTGTTTTACTGTCAAGCTTTTAAAATGCAAGTAAACTTCACTTGTATTGAGACATGAAGTTTTCTCATTGGGAATTTTTCATGCATAGCTGACTAATATTTGTTTGACTTTATGATTTTTGTCTTTAGCTGAATGGGTCATTGTTGAATCAACTGTGTAATCTGGTTCCTAGGTACAGTAAAATTGTCAGAAATGCACATTTTCAACAGTGGTGAACAAACCACAGTTACATTAGGTCTGATGTCTCGATTAAATGCCAATAGAACAAGTACAGAACAAGTACTGTCATCTTTTACAGTGGAGGAATTTGAGGTTTACCAAAACATGATGAAGGCAAATGAGCTCTCCTTGAAGTCTTTCCCAAAGTTTACAGGCAAATACAAGTCAAAAGGCAAACCACATGAGGGGTTTTCTTTAATAAAGCTTGGGGTAATAGAAAATGCATGCTTTTCCTAACTGAACTGACAGCTAAAGGTGGGGAACAGGGTGCTTATTCAGTCAAAGTCTGAGCCCCTACTGCTGTCCCCGCCAACCCCCAGCACTTCTTTGCCTTTGTTTTGAGATTGTAATTGAGCTGCCTCTGGAAGCCTGCCTGGATTGCATAGTGCAGTTGGGAATGGTGTGTGTTATGCGAGTTTGTGTGTTGGGGAGGGTGCTGGGGTCCGAGGAACTGATGTGGGAGGCTGAGTTCACTAGCAGGGCAGGAGAGCAAAAAAGACTGTGTGGACACTTCCACTATTCCTGACCTCACTACGGTCTGCTTCTCATTTACTTGTTTATTTCCTGTTTGCTATTTGATAGGGGATGTATGACACATTCTCCTGACCAGCAAGAGACAAAGATCACTTCATAAATAAGTGATATTAAATCATGGACATTGTCTGCATGAGCATTTGGGAAATATTACTAACATTACAGACCCAGGGAGGGGAAGAAAGCTCAGCTAGGAACCACCATGACCAGTTGCTGATCCATAAAAAATTGATCTTTCAAAAGTGATTGATGTAGTAGTGGATCTTTGACATTTCTTCAGAAGTGCTACCTGCGAATGTGTTATTGTAAATATGCAATCGTTGGGTCAGACTGTGTCCGCTGCGACCCATGAATCCTGGACATTTTCATGTGAACTCTGGCTGAACTCTTGGCTGCACTGTGGCAGGCACGCTCCGAATGCTTCTCCCTTAAACTCCCCCAGCTCTTTACTGCACAGTTCATCAGCAGGTCCTTTCTCCGCGCGCACACACACACACACACACACACACACACACACACACACACACACACACACACACACGGCCTCTCTCCATTCAAGAGGAATGGTGAGACGACCGGAAACTCATTCCTTCTCCAGTTGGAGCAGTAAAACCACAAAACTCCCCACTGCACATATACATAGGCAAATGAAGAACAAATGGCTTTACATACCAGACATCCTGTGTAATATGACCTGCTTTTGGGCCCCCTCATAAAACCTCAGGTAAAGCTGCTGCCTTTATAGGATGAAGTGAAGGTGAGACCCTGGAGGCTGCTCTTAAAACAGTAGGTATGTTCTTCAGACCAGATCTTTGGATCATTAGCAGGTGTTCATTAGTGTAGAGCTTGGCTAGCCACAAGCTAAACTCATCAAAAGGCAGGTGGGATTTATGAACACATCCACAGAGGTCAAAAAGGCTCTGCAAAGTTGTAAGAGCTATAAACATTGAACCACAGATACCCCTTTTCCACTAAAATGGCAAAGGTTCTTGTGCTGAAGACAGTGCTCAACTAGGGGATTTATTGCACAGTTTTCAGTCTTGCCAGAGTGAATTGTTCTTATTTCATTTCTCCTTTTTTTTTAATTCTGGTGCTGTTTTTTATCCCAGTACTAGCACTGGCCCTGTCACTTTAAAATGGCCATGTGCAAGACTCATTATTTCTGTAATCTTGTTCAACAACAGAAAATCAAACCTGAATTCATAGTAGGAAATACCTGTTGTTTACGCTGGCCATGTCTCTGACAGTTTGTGCTGTTTCTGATGCAAAATCCAATGCTCCTGCAACAGGTTTGGTCACTGTGCCAACCAGTCCCTTCCCCAGACCGGAGAAAAATCCACTGACACCCCCTTCAGTCTTCACTCCCTCTACTGTTGACGTTATCACACTGGTCAGGCCGCCAATTATACCTATAAAGCATCGATACCATATTTGGTTAGTTTAAAAGTAGCAGACAAATGATCCAATCAGACAATGAATTTGTTTAAATATTGAGCTAAGCGTACCATGAGCAAGACCATGAATCCCTGCCACAAGATGCTCTCCACTAGTGGCTCCATGATAGCGAATGCACTCTCGTTCAGTCTGATGCCGATTGTCCATTGTCTTGCCTAATCCATCTGATAGGGTACCTGCAAACTGCGGAAACAAATAAACATAAGAACAACAATTAAAAAGAACAGTAGACTGCATTTAGATATATAGATATAACTGCAATGATCAATTCTTATATTAGACCTCAAGGGTGTCCAATTCTGCTGCAGTTAGTTGCTAGCTTAATTAAATGCTCCTGCACCAGCTTATTAGTGATATTAGAAACATCTAGATAAGTATGTTGAGGCAAAGTTGGAGCTACATGTAAACCATAGGTCTCATGCTGGGTTCCTGCAGGGCCGCAGTTCTGCACAGTTCACACTCCAACCCTAATCCCACAGCTAATTCTACTAGTAATCAAGGTGTTCAAGACTAATAAAGACCAGGGCTTCTCAACCTTTCTCATTTCGTGGCCCACCTTCTTCTCTGAAATTTTTTTGAAGGCCCAAACTGATTGTCAAAAGAAAATGCTTATTTTAAAACTATTTATTAGCAAAAAAATATTTTACCTTCTATTATTCTCCTATTTTCTACATCATTTAAAAAAAACACAGAACAATATATGTAATAATAAATATTTTAATATAAAAAAAAAATGCAGGCAGGTTCAAAGCTCCTGAATTCTTCATTTCAACAACTGCAGAGTATTTGGACCTTTTCTTCAATAAATGAAGCTAACAGGACAACAGGAGATGGCAAAAATCTGCTGCTGCTTTGTATTAGACTGACTACTATTCATCTATTGATCTACAATTCATATCTATTAAAAATAAATGTAAAATACAGTAAAACACGCTGTTGAAAAGCATTGATCTGAAGGTGATTGTGTTTGCAGCTGGACATTACTGGAGTTCGCTGACAGGAACAGTGAACAACTGTTCACTGAAACACCACCTAGTCTCAATGGATCCTACTGTACGGGCGCATGTCCGTTATAAAACACTTGCAGTAGGTGATTGTCTTCAGAAACATCATAAATAGAGTTGGGCCGACATCTCTCATATTTCCGTTAAGTAGCTCAAACTGTCTGTCAGCAAATGCAGATTTGAACAACTGCGCAGCAGTTTGTACGCAGCTCCGCCGATTACTGTTTGTGCATAGACATGCTGCGCTTTCACGAGAGAGAGAGCACGCGCCTGCGTATGCGCGATTGGCAAAAACATGCTGAATCAAAACTTTTTCATAGGGGACCTTTTACAGCATCCTTAATGTAGATTTTAATTAGTTTAACAACAAAACACAAGTAAATACCGCTACTCCGCCTATAGTCTCTCCCTATATTGTTTCCCATGCAACTCTAAATATTCGCTCTGAAATAGCATTTCAGTTTGGCTTAGTAATGAGTGTAATTCCTGCACACTGCCGGACAAGTACTAGTTGCTTTTAACACATGAGAGAGGGTTCTTTTGCTGTCATCTTAAAGGTGCGCGTGCTCCTGTTTCAGGTGGCATGGCTCTGGACAGCAGGGGAGGGACTGTGATTTAGAGATTTATGCTAAGCTGTTAGCATTGTAGAAGATCACCTACTGCACTTTTAAGGAGGTGTGAGTTGGAGGTGGTTGGAGCTAAATTATGCAGAGCTGGGGCCCTCCAGGAATTGAGTTTGAGCCATTAATGTAAACTATGTAGGACAGTGTCACATTTGGACACCCCTGTTAATCAAGACATAATCATTTAATGTCAGGTAAATTGCCAGCAATGACCATTAAGGCGTCAGTAAACCTCTAATGAAATTGAAGAACAAACAGAATTTCAAAATTTCAAAATAAATCTGGCAAAATTTTAGTTAGTTTTGAGTTAGTTTTAGTAGTTTGAAGCAACTCTAAGCAAACTTTTTGGGGAGTTTGTTTGGCTACATGGAGGTCAGACAGAAAAACCACAACGTTGAAAACAAAATCTGCACCTGTACAACACACTACCACGTTGCACCATATATTTTAAAGTTTTAAACACTTTTCTTTAAGAGTCCAAAAACTAACAGCACCATTCAGTGTCTCCTAACTACAAATAGAAAACAATGTAAAAGTGTGGTTAGATTTGGTGGCATTTATCCGGTGTATGACAGCCTGTAGTTTGCCAGATGTTTATGAAACTGTTGTTCTCTCACAGCTTCCATCATTGTTGTATTTGTGGGTACACTTAAACACTATTACACGTTTACAATTCACACATTTAATACTGCAGTAAAGGGATGTCATTCAGCTTTTTCAAAAAATTTTTTTGCGTTCAAATGAAGAAAAAAAAAAGAACTTTGTTTAATGTAGATCAGATCCCTAAGGAGTGGACTGTCTACTTTAGGATACATCACTGACTTATTATGGTTTGCCTATTTAATATATAAAGTTTATGCACCACTTCAAATGTAGATTTTTCTGTTAGCTCATGAAAAATATATTGCAACATTATTTGCGGGGTGCCTTGTCATGATTCACAAACTCTCCCACCACTAAACTCTAGGGATACGCATTGATTTTACAGATAAGTGATTATACACACAATCTCACTCAGCTGTCAAATATATCAGGCTGTAATTTGTCTAATGGGATGGAGCTTCCCCCTGTTGGCACAGTTGACCTGACTTTGCCCAGAGTGGCCCCCCTCAGGCGCCCTGCAGGTGCCTCCTGGAATGGAGTTTGTTACAGGCCCAGTGAGCTCCCTACAGCAGTCAGAGTACTTTATAAACACAGGCACATTCTGCAGAACTCCAGCAAGAGCCAGGCATGAACTTGGGATGACCCCTCCAAGCAAAGTCCCTGGTGGGTTCATCTGAAGGGCAGCTCAGATTCTCTGCTCCTCCTCTTCCACCTCCCTCACTCTCACCCTCTTTCCTTTTTTTAAAGCTTGGCTGTGAAATTATACCAATACATTTACCAGATATGAGCTTGCAGGAGGGAGAGGAGGATCCGAACACTTTCAAGTTTATGGCCCCACACACCACCCCTGCTTGGGCCATTAGACTATCTCAAAGCAGGGCCCCTAGAGGTGTGTGAGAATGGGTTTCAGTGAGTCAATGTGTGAGAAAGAAGATGTAGGAGAATGAAAAACAGAGTGACTGACATTTCATACATGAGAAAACCATAAAAAAAGAAATGTAAATAAAAGGTAACAGATTAAATTCTGCTCTACAGTTAGATAGTCTAAGGCTGTTTCAAAGACTTTCAGAGAGTTATAGAAAAATCTATTTTACAGGCACTGTTTAAAATCAGGGCAATGCAATGGCACAGTAGGTAGTGCTGTCGCCTCACAGCAAGGAGATCGCTGGTTCGAGCCTCGGCTGGGTCAGTTGGCGTTTCTGTGTGGAGTTTGCATGTTCGCCCTGTGTTCACGTACATTTCCTCCGGGTGCTCCGGTTTCCCCCACAGGCCAAAGACATGCAGTACAGGTGAATTGGGTAAGCTAAATCAAGCTAATCTGGTGTATGAGTGTAAATGAGTGTGTATGGATGTTTCCCAGAGATGGGTTGCAGCTGGAAGGCCATCTGCTGCTTTAAACATATGCTGGATAAGTTGGCGATTCATTCCGCTGTAGCAACCTTGGACTCATAAAGGGACTAAGCCGACAAGAAAATGAATGTTTAAAATCAAGAGAGAATGTCAGAGTAATTTTGCAGTCAACTAAGTGTGCTTTAGCTAAAGTACCTATTAAAAATGTTTAGGCTCTAATAGAGGTAAAATTAACAACTCAGAATTCCTGTGGACTGTAAACGTTCCAAAACATTTCAGGGTAGTCACTGATACAAGTTAAAAAACTAACAGTAATCTTTGCAAACACAATAAACCTTACGATTCTAGGCACTTTATCAAACCAAAGCTCTTAAATGCCTTTTATTTATTTTTTTAAAGGTTTTTCCACCACAAGCAACGTGACATGGACCCTTATTCAATTGGTAGATCATTTTGGCTAAGCATTTTATTCAAGCAGCTGGAAGATCACTGGAGAAAGAAAAAAAGGGTTTAGACTCGGTAAATTGAGTTTGTGGCATAAATGCAGCCAACAGAGAAGCTTTTTAAAGTACTTTTCCAGCATAACTTTAGCAGTTCAGTAAGCTATTTTTTAAGATCCAAAAGTTAAAATACTAATACTACTAATACCATTTGTTTACACCAAAATTTTAATAATATAATTACTTACTCAGTCTCATGTCATTTCAAACCACCTGAGACTTTGTTCATCTTCAGAATTAAGAATTAAGATATTTTGGTGAAATCTGGGAGCTTCCTCATCCTCCGTAGACAGCTAGGGTTCTAATGATCAAAGTCCACAAGAATACCAAAGGAAATAAATAAATAAATCAATTCTCAAAAAAAAAAAAATTATTAATAAAATTAATATGTTCACTTTTCCTTTCCTTCAGCGTAGTCCCTGCTTTTTAATAGTTTTAATTAATTATAAAATACATAAAATATTTTATAAACTTGTAATATCTTCTTAAACTTTCAGGTATTACATTTCAGGTGCTGGGCTGTAACATAGAATAAATCAAGGCATAAGTGATGCAAATGTGGAAGTGGAAAAAGTGCACAGACGTACATGCATTCAAAGCGATTTCATAATCTTGTATATTGTCAGCGGCTTCGTCCAATAGTATCTAGATGCAGCCTTTGCGATGCAAGCTGAGATTGCACCGCTCAGAGATGCAATCTCTTTGCTTTGATGACGACGAACCTCACACTAAGACCCGCCACCCCATCAAAAAAAAAAATTCAGATTTATGCAAATTACAGGGGTCGTCCCATTGAGCTCGGAAAATACGGAAATCCATACCTATACAGAGGATTAACATTTCTGTATTAAGCTATAATACATTTGTTTATGCACAAAAATGACTTTATTCAACAGTTTCTTCACCTCTGTGTCAGTATAGGGTGCACATTCGCGCATTCGTGCAGGGTCATGTTTCTGACATATTACCTCTCAGCTCACCTAAAATGGCTCTCAGATTTCAGCTAAAATATCAGAATTTTTATTTTGAAGATAAAATAAAGTATCAGGGGTTTAAAAAACATGAGGGTGAGTAATTAAATATAATTTTCATTTTAGGCTAACCCTTAAAAAATGTTGCTCCATTTGACTTTCGGCATAATCTAAATGTACTTAATATGGTTAGCATATCTGACCATCTCACCTCACCATCCTACATAAGCAAATTGAGATAAGAAAAAGTCAAACAGGCAAATTTGCTGATTGAGACCTAGAGTTATTCTGTCCTATGCGTACATTGGCGTGAGCTCTGCCAGTGTGGCTGGAAGAAAGTGAATGAGAGCGCAGAAGGAGCGGACAGAGAGAAAAGCACACAAAGCACTGTCTGACAGTGAGCTGGCTGCCAATGAAGGACGTGGTACGATGGCCTGTGAGACAGACATGCTGAGAGCTGGCTGCAGGACATGAAGTGGAGGCTCATGTCTTGACCACACACAACTGCAGCCTCAAAGCAGTACACACAAACACACTAGCGCCATGGGCAAATCAGCTCAATTCCATCTGCTCAAGCTCAACGTTAAGAGCCTCACAAACGTCTTGTTCATGAGAACATTCCAGGGCTGATGTTCAACTTTCATATTGTCGAAACACTTAAATGCCAGTGTTCCCATGATTCTGTAAACATGAAAAAACTTGCCTGTTTATGCAGCGAGACCAAAACTAATAAACTCCCTGAACCTTCACCTCTTCTGTGCATATTAAAATGAAAATCAGGTCAGATTGCTTCTGGTGAATATCATGTGCATCTGACCTTTTGATGCTGTTACCAATCTTTTCCTGGAAATCTTCAAATGACAACATGTGGCTCATTCTAGTGCTCTGCTCAGAGCTTCAAAAACATATTCAATAAGAAGCCTGTGAAATAAACAACACCAGCTTCCAATTCACATTTGATCAGATCACAGAGGACTATTCGTTCTCTTGTTCTTTTTCTTATTTTTTGCACCCAATGAATCCCTCTTTTGCTTTTGTACTTTGCAGCTGTACAGATGGACTTTTTCATACATCAAACATTTGGGAATAACTAGCAAAAATAACCCTGTGAAATTCTCAAGAATCAAGAACGGTACGATAGACTAGTGAAGACAACAGTAAGAAAGTGAACTTTTGCTACCTTGGCAGCTGAGTTGGAAACGCCATGTGTAACACTGCGGATGAGTCCTCCAACGTTGCCATACTTAATGAGCTCGTTCATCCCCTCAGTCACGTCATTCAGTAGGCCCATGGGGTTACCCAGGAAGTCCACCGAGCCTAGGATCTGAGCTGCCTGACTGATAAGCTCCTAAAAAAGGGTAAGAACATTTAAGACCAAGAGGTGACAAAGATTTTGCATATGTATGATATGTAACAATTCAGGACAAAGAATGCTTGTGACCTCTTTAAAGTGCTTGAGAATATCATTGATGACCATCTCCTGTGTCTCATAGGGATGAACTCGAGTGTAGGGGTACATGTTGATGATTGCATCTTCAAACCGAATGAGTGGGAAGCCAAGGGTTCCCTTCAAGGCCTGTGCAAAACAACACTTGACTATACAGCGAGTAGCCAAATCATAACATAATGCAAGCTTGAAAATACTGTGGTCGATTCTACAGTGGCTCTTTTACCTTAAGGTCATGGGGCAGCTTGTGAGAGGTGAACACACTAAGCTTGACCTGAGGGAGACTGATTTTCAAGTTCTCAAAATAATAGCGCTTTGGTGTTCCTGGATCTTCACTGGCTTTCTCATAGATGTTCTCATCCAGCTTCTCCATCTCTGTAACACAAAAGCATGCACTTTACAGCAGGAGATAATAGTGTCATTTTCTATACTGCACTCTAGAGGGATAAACATTACACACCTCCCTCTGTCTGACCGTAGCCAAAGAATATCAGCAGTTTCATTAAGAGCTTCTCCTCTATGATTACAGTGTAGCGTCGAGCTGTGACCATCAGATGCTGTGAATCAGAGTGCAACATCTATGATCAAGCTTTTGTAGCTAAAGGCACACGTACAAACAGGCCTGAAGCATTTCTGGTCAGAAAGAGAACCTGTAGGTTGATCAGTTTCACCTTAAAGAGGTCTGTGAGCATAAGCCTGCTGGGCACTTTCACAGCGTTGACCTGCAGAGCAGGACCTGAATCCAATGCAGTACTTTCAGAGGAGCCTGGAGTCACACATAGTAGCACAGGGTGAGTGGTGCCCAGAAGCTGGTTGTCCACCTGGGAAAGACGAGAGAAAAGAAACAAATCTGTCAGAAATGCATTAGCTTGAGACTGAAAATTTTGTTGGAAAAGAAAACGAATGAGCTAAAAAGGGATCTTTGCCAGATCTGATCCCTGACTATTGGATTAAACTTTGATGTCCCAAGTACATTGACAAATCTAGAAAAACTAGTCAACATCACAGTTCGGTAAACCATCTTGAACTATCCCTAATCCAAACAATGTAGTTATTTCATGTTGGAAAAAGTGTGTTTTGGTGTATGACTGCTTACCTGAATGTTTTTCACTGTAAGTTCCAGTACTTGGTTGGCGGCAGTGCGGGTAAAGTGTACATCAATGCCAGACAGGGTGGCAAACACCAACTCTTCAGGGAGCTTGTTCACCAGTGATAGGCCCACTCCTTCCTCTAGGTTCACCACCACCTACACAAAAGGACATGAGTAAGGAGTTGTGAACTTCCAAGATCAATATTTGCAAATTCTACTGGAAACGTAATCAAAGTAAAATTCCACATCAATCAGTTTGGACTAACAAAAAAAACATTGTTTTTACCTCAAGCTCCTCCTCTGGGAATTTTGTCTGAGCTATCTCTTTATTCGGGTCTTCCTCTGTGCTTGGAGAGGGTCTATTCACGCGCCGCTGATTGAAGTCACTGATCTGAAATAAGGTATGCAGCTTCTCATATTAGAAAGTGTGAAAGAAAGATAGGAACTTCAATTTCATAAGGTTTCAGATTGCATGCTACACCAACCATGTCCTTCAATAATATTAAGACAGGAGAGGTGATAATACCTGTAATACTCTCGTGGGCCCATCAGGAAGGACCTGAACTGACAGAACCCCCGAGCCAGGTCGCATTTTCTGGTTGATGAACTGTTGCTCAGGCGTCGCTTCCAAAATACCAGAGTCTGGTCCCAGTACCACCTCTGCACCATCATACAGTCCAGACACTCCTCCGCTTACCTAAAATGCCAAATAAAACTTTATAAAGAGCCACAGTATCTTTTTCAAGGAAAATAATGAGTGAGGAGTGAAATCTCAAAAGGACAAACCTGGACAACTAGTCTGGGTAAACCACAGGTCAACATGCCAGAGTTGAAGTGCCAAGTCTGGGTGGTGCTGCGGCGGCTGTCTGGCCGTCTCAACATCAGAGGCTCATAGCTAAAAACGAAAATTCAACAAATGTGAGAAATGACACCCGCACACCAGGATAATGTTTACTCTCTACAGGGACAAGAACAAGCTTAAAATAGACAGCACAATTTGTCATTTATTGTTCTGTGACGTGTGTGGATAACCTGTTGTCTGTCACTGCAGCCAGTCCTGCAATATCAAGCACCAAAGAAGAACTGAGGGGTCGAGGCTGAGAAGGTTTGCTCTGTGGAGGTGATGAGCCCTCATGACACAGCATTCCACTTCCTGTCATTCGCCAAAGCTGGGAGCGCTTTCCAGGCTCCTAAACAGATAAAGAAATGTAAGTACCTTTGAGAATTTAATAGAAACATGAAACTGGCTGATAGCTAAAGGAGAACATAAGCAGACCTTTTTCTTCAGGATGACTCTCTGCGTTTTAGTCTCCACATCCAGCACCAGTTCAGCACAGCTAACTGCCCGATTTTTCCCCACTGGCCTCTTTCCTCCATCTCTGTTAACAAATCAAATTATCATCTAAAATTATTAAATACAATTATCTTATTATTCAGCTAGAGGAAAGGTTTCTTTTAGAAATGTTGGTTGGTGATTTAATGGTTGTGAACTCACTCTGAGAATGTGAATGAAGCAGCAATGTAGATGAAGTTCTCATAGTAGAGTTTGTTGTATTCTCTGAAGAAGTTCATGTCAGCGGTCACCTCGGAGGATCCAGCTCCTTTCACAGTGACTGTGAGATAGGGCTCAAGAATCGGCTCATCACAGGCATAGTCCAGATCTGCACCAGGTTTGACCTCTGTGTGTAGCCTGATATCAGCAACTCCATGTTGCCAGAACTGGATAGGCACCTGATGGAGAAAAAAAAAGTGCAAAATTCTACAATAAATCAGGGGCCTCATGTATCAACGCTGTGTACACACAAAAACTTTGCGTACGCCAGATTTCACGCTTACGTTTGAATTTACTAACGATAAAATGAAAGTGAGAATGTGCGTTGCTCCATGCCAACTTCATGCCTGGCGTACGTGCATTTCTTGTGTGTGTTTGTTTTATTTCCATTGGCGACTCCTAGAGGCAATTATGTTAAATTGCACACTAAAAAGTATCTTTGAGATGCATGATGTTTATCTTTGAGGCAGATGTATGGGACAGGGTCATCCGCATGTCTAGCAGGTATTTAAGGTTTCCATACCATGCAGTTGACAAGTTAAACATTAAAGCTCAATTTGCAGCAATCGCTGGTTTTCCCAAAGTAATCGGAGCGATCGACTGCACGCACATAGCTATAAAGGCGCCATCTGAAGACAAATTTGCATAAGTGAATCAGAAACATTTCAATTCAATAAATGTGCAAATAATATGCGATTCTCAAATGCGATTAACATAATACACACACGTATTACTGATTCCTACTTGTCTTCAACGTGATGAAGATTAGGAAAAATCTGATATGTAATGGGGGAAAGAAGAATGAGTTCATCAGACGCTGGATTCGAACCAAGTTCATAATCATGTCGAAACATGTTGTTATGCGCTTTACGAGCTACGCCACTCACGCTGCTGTTAACAGCTCTCTTTAGTCATGTTGTCTCTGTCAATCAAACGGTGATGGGCGGGAATCACTCAACTAGCTCATTCCAACAAGGTGTGCTATTTGCACTTAGCCTAAATAGACACTACAAAATTTTACACCTTTATATCGGATCATTTCTTTTTTAACTCACTCACAGTGCGATGTTCAGACCTCACTGTGTTAATCGCATCAGCTAAACTCTCCCACTTTATTTTTTTCTTTTGTTATTAATTCTGGAGGACAAACTTGCAAACTTGCAAAAAAACACACTTTTCAGTCTACCGCCGAAAAGAGCACCTACAATTCACATTCAGTTCAAAGTTTCTCTTTTTGCTTGCTTTTGCCAATGCTTTTTCGTTTGGTTTTGCCAAAGTAGAGTCATTACTATATTTATTAGGGGGAGGAGGTAGGGAGGGGTTTTGCGCTTATGCACATGCGCTCAGTTTCTTGTTTATTCGGATGTACAAAAAAGATATGCATAGGTTTCCATGTACGCAGTTTCATACATCTGAATTTTTTTACTGTGTACGCAAATTTAAAGCTTTGTGTGTACGCAATGTTTTAGTATGAATTCAAGGCAAGTCTTTGTATGTACATAAGGCCCTTGGTCTTTAAAGGGATAGTTCACCCAAAAATGTTGTTTATTCACTATTTACTCACCCTCAGGTTGTTCCAAACCTTTATGTTTATTTTTTCTGTTAAACACAAAAATATATTTTGAAGAATGTCAGAAACTATCAACCATTATCATCCATAAAATCTATGGAAATCAATGGTTGCCAATTTCCAAGATTTTTCAATATAACTTGTATTGTGTAAAAAAAAAGGGGGTTTTGACTATCAAAGGGTGAATGAATGACAGAATGTTTGGTTTTCGGTGAAAAATCTATTTAAGATCACAACAGAGACCATCTAGGTAGAAAGCCAGAGATACTGTGTCATATTTAAAACTTTTCATCATCTAAAACATGGCAAAGAATGAGCGATTTGAGTGCAAGACTAGGACAGCTGACTATTGCCTTGATGTGTTATGGCCCATAGACTGGTTGCTTTGGTATCAGAGACAATAAAGCAGATGCTGGAATTAATAAAGCAGCCTTAACAAAGGTTTTGGTGAAAAAAGGGGCGTATTGTCACTGACAATTAACCAAGATGCAGGATACTTCTATACTGTCCTCTGGAAAGGATTTAAATGTATTCATGTGATTTTGCTCCTATGGCATAAACTGAAGTTTGATCATTGTAAGCTGGGCAGCCTGGGCAAGCGTGTTTGATGATGAAAGGCCTGAAACATCCAAGGACAAGGAAATGTAAGCTCCAACATTTCATTTTTTTCTTTTCAAGACCAACATCAAAAATGCAGCTAAATGTCGGCCCCAAACATCTATTAGCAAATCAAAAAAACACAATTCTATATTTTAGATTGTACGGGCATCACTGAGACAGAGAAACCACCGCACACAGAACTGTCAGGAGAGAATTCAATGCTTGACAGATGATTTGATTGCTTAAGTCATGCCAAAGGGAGTAAAAGAGCTATTTTGTGAGACAAAAGCTTTATATCCACCTTTTGTAGAGACTAGAATGGTGTCTCACTCTGTAAATTTAAAACCACCAACAAATCATATGACAGGAAAGCTGGCTTAAAAGCAGAGGAAGGTGACAAAAAATGTGCACACCTACAAATATTCCATTAAGCCCCACATAACAGGCAAAATATTGATTACAGGGACACTTCTTATAGTTATGGTGTCAGAATTAAACACAACAAACACTGAAAGGAAATCTCTTGATGATGTCATTAATTTGAGAAGAACCCTGACCCTTTTTGAAACAAAAACTGAGCTGTGATTCTCAAGAGTGACCTGGGTTCAAGTTCAGAACAGGTCATATTCCAAACCATTCTTGTGATACTCTTTAGTCTGAAATCTTCTGAAGCGTTCAACTGCTTTACAATACCTGATAATGAGTACCCTCTGTGGACGTACCTCAGAGATGTTATCTATACGGAAGGGTGGGGGCAGCTGGTCAGTATCACTGAATGAGATTTGATGCGTTGCCCCTTTCAAAGCAATCTCAGCACGCAGGAAGAAGCAGTTCCCCAACGTGTCTCTACGGAACACATAATAAGAGGGGAAAAAAACGTGTCTATGAAATCGAGAAGTTCACCCTCAGTAGTCATTTTCTTTTATGTTCAGCCATCCCTAGAGACTGAGAGTATCTATGTATCTGGGTACCTCATGTTGATGTGAAAAGATTTAGGCTTGTTGACCTCAAAACCTCCAGACCAGGTGCAGTTGGGAACATCCATGAGTCTAACACAGAGAAGCTGATCGTAGTCATTTCTAGGCCAGTGGAACACCACACTGGAGCCTGGCAGGGTGGAGATGTATCCTTCTGGATTTGCAGTGCCCTACAAGAAGTTATCATTTGTTACAATTAATTAATTGTGTTGATATTATGCCAGTTATAACAATGGTAACAAAACAAATGAATATAAATGGTAATGTGAAAGAGCTTTCTTTAAAAACACACTGTGAAAACATAATGCTTGTCCTAAAAAGATGTTCACACAGAGCAGCAGGCAATTAAATAATAGAAAATGTAAGTTTATAAGATTCCAGCTGAACTTATTTTAACATGAGCATGTTTTTAGATGTTGAAAAAATTAAGATATGCAAATGCAAAAATTCCATTCAATTCAATTCAGCTTTATTTGTTTAGCGCTATTACAATGTAGACTGTGTCAAAGCAGCTTCACATAAATGGTCATAGTAACTGGATCAGGGTAGTTCAGTTTTTAGTGTTTAAGTTCAGTTCAGTTTAGCTCAGTTCAGTGTGGTTTAAAATCATTACTGAGAGTCCAAACACTGAAGAGCAAATTCATCGATGAGTAGCTTTTCAGATCCTGAACTATGCAAGCCAGTGGCGACAAAACCATGTTGTGTTTACATAAGCAAAAGCAGCACTGTGGAACAATGTACAGTACTGTGCAAAAGTCTTAGGCCACTAGTATTTTCACCCAAAAACGCTTAAGGTCAGTTAATTCTATATTTTATGTAGCATGTCATTTTGGAAAAAAAAAAAACTCCCTGCAAAGCTACCTGAAAAACTATGGGCAAGTGGACCAAGTGTTTTAAATGCAAATGTTGATTAGATTTAGTTAATATAAGTTAATTGATAAATAAAATACATTTACGCATTTTATTACAGCATTTTTACACAAGTGCCTTAAACTTTAAACAGTATTGTAGCTTTGCAAGCAGATTTTCTTTAGGATTTGTCTCAGTTTGTTCTGTTTCATCATGTCATTTCATACAGACTGGATGACGATCTGATCTTTGTGTGGAGCACTGGCTGTTGTCAGACTCTTTGTGCAGACAATAATTTCACTGTTTAATTACAATTAATGACAAAAATAATGCTTGAAAATGTAAATTGATCAAACTGGCATGCTATAGAAAAATAAAGAAATAATCAACTTTAAACGCTTTTTTTTGGTGAAAATACCAAAAACTCCCATATGCTTATGCATTCTGATGCATGGATTGTTAAATGTATTTTCATTTTAGTTATTGGTAATAATCACCTACCACTGGAATTATACTTATTGTTATTATACTTTGAGTTGGACTCTAAAGCTGAATGGCAACATTTTTGGTTATGAAAATATTGCTTTTCTTCATTTTATGGAAAAAGTGGCCAATTTGACCCCATTCACAGGGTATCTGCACATTTTTTAACAGGAAATTTAAGACCTTTTAAGACCTTTTTAAGTCCTCTAAAATGAAAATTTAAGACTTTACCTAAAAAAAAAAAAAAAAAAAAAAAAAACAGGAAAATGTTCAGTGTGTCAACACAGAATGATGTTTTGAAGTATGGCGGCTAATCTATGGCGGCAAATCAATGCCAATATAAATCGAGCGCAGCGATGATGTTTGCGCGCGAGGAGAAGTGAACCGTGAGCAGATTACTTGGTTGACTTGGTTTACTTGTTATCTCTAACGCTATTGGCTACTCTGCCTTTCCGGAAGTTAGCCGGGATTGGACGCAGGTTAAAAGATCACGCCGTTAAATATATATACAATTTGCAAGTCATAATCATAAGATACTTTCTGAGAACTTTATGAACTTTATGCGGATTCAATCTCGAGAAACAGTCAAATAATAAAAATTAATCTTCTAAAATAATGACTTGCATTCTTGTAACATGACTTTCTGAACCCATTTGATTTGTCCCGTGCAGCACTTGTCTGGTTTGTTGTATTTTACTTCATTATTAACCACAACAGCAGTGCTCATTATTACACTAGGGAATGATCTTTCTAGGAAATATTGTCTTCAGAAGAGTTTATTTGCATTTTAGATCTTTCCATACAATGCATACTATATGTGCAGTGCAGCTTTGTATATTATTATAATTGTTAACATTGTTTGTAATATAGATCAGTGTAAAATATATATATCTATATATTATATATATTTTTCAATCTAATTTTTAGTTAATGATTGAATAACCTGCATATAAAGACTTCAATCAAAAATGATTAGCCCAATCAAACATAAAAAATACAGTGACAGACATTCAGATGGGTGTTTATCGCCACCTATTGAGCAACAATTTAATTTCTACAGTCTTCGTTTGGCTTTACTCACTATCCATTACATCATTCCACTTCAGAGGCATACAAATACCACTTTCTATACGACAGGCCCACATCTTAAAGGTCACATATGCAGTTGAAGTCAAAATTAGTAGCCCACTTTTTTTCTTGTTTTATTTCGGCTAGAATAAAAGCAGTTTTTAATTTTTTAAAACCCATTTTAAGGTCCATATTATTACCATCTTTAAGCTATTTATTTTTTTCGAAAGTCTACAGAACAAACTATCATTATACAATAACTTGCCCAATAACCCTAACCTGCCTAGTTAACCAAGTGAAGCCTTTAAATGTCACTTTAAGCTGTATAGAAGTGTCTTGAAAAATATCTAGTCAAATATTATTTACTGTCATCATGGCAAAGATAAAATAAATCAGTTATTAGAAATGAGTTATTAAAACTATTATGTTTAGAAATGTGTTGAAAAAAATATTCTCTCCGTTAAATAAAAATTAGGATAAAAATAAACAGGGGGCTAATAATTCAGGCGGGCTAATAATTCTGACTTAAACTGTATAGTGGAATAACAGACTAATGGCAATATATTTACTATAAACCTTTGTACTTTATGCACTGCATGCATGTATAGCCTATTTTGTATACTATTGTCCATCCAATTTATTCTGACTTGTTCTTCATAGAAAATGAGTCAAGGACAATGAGTCTTAGAAAAAAAAAAAGATTTTTATAAATTTGAACACGTTTGGTTTGAGTTCAGTTTAAATGTAGGTGCTAAACTTCATCAAATGGTTAAAAACACACATTTAAAGTCTGAATTATTCGTCCTGAATTATTAGCCAATGTATATTTTCCCCAATTTCTGTTTAATGGAGAGAACTTTTGCCACATGGTATAACTCTCTCTTTCTCTCCCAAGTAATAAAGTTTGTTACAAGAATATATCTCATTATTTTGATATGTCATTATATGACTTGGTCATGATGGTAAGAATAGGCATTATTATGAGATTAATTATTACAAGAAATATCTCATTATTGAAAGTAAGTTCATTCACCTATTATTACTGAGAAAGTAAGTCTATTAGTTTCACATTGTGACATTATGATAAGATATCCTATATATCTTTATTTAACAGGGAAACTAGCTTACCTGCGTCCAATCCCTGCTAACTTCTGGAAAGGTAGAGTAGCCAATAGCGTTAGAGATAACAAGTAAACCAAGTCTCGCCCTAGGACTGACAAAAATTCAAAATGTTTCGCGCGAGCAGAGAGAAGAACCAGCGAGCGCTGTAGGCATGACCTCGCTCTGTGCGCGCGGGGGACTTGTTTTCTCGCGCTGGATGAGTTGAGCGCGCGCGTGAAGATCCCCTGTTCCCTCGCGAGCTGTAGTTTTCTTGCGTGTAGACCTGGCTGTAATCTGCTCACGGTTCACTTCTCCTCGCACGCAAACATCACCGCTGCGCTCGATTAATATTGGCATTGATTTGCCGCCATAAGACGAGTCGGACATGATATTTAAGATCCCACATGAAATTTAAGACCTCCTTATGGAAAATTACAGAATTCAAGACATTTTCAGACCTTAAAAATCAAAAATTTTAATTAAGACATTTTAAGACTTTTTAAGGACCCGCGGGGACCCTGCATTCATTGTTTAAGGTCAGTAAATACATGATTTACTTCAATTGTCAACAAAAGACATATATTACTTGACATTTAAGGGCTCAAAAGAAGTATATTCTGGAGGTTTTAAGTATTGAGAGATTTTAGGTGGGTAACACTATGTTAATGTAGCACTCGTTTCACATAATTCCTGACCCCAGCCCCAGCCCCCGCCCCCACCTAATAAAATAAATAAATAAAATAAAAAACACTTCCCAGCCTCTCTTTCATGCATATTTTATGATACATGAAAAATATCTAAAACACAGAACAAAAACACTGAAAACATGCATTCCCACCTTTCCTCTGGCAAATTCCCTCTGAGAAAAGGCTAGCTTGTGAGATGATCGATTGTCAAGCAGGTATCGTGGAGCAAAAGTCACAATATGTGTGTCACGATAGCGCCCTTTCCCTTTTCGCACATTTATTCCTACAATGAGACATTTCAATCCATTAGTAATCTTCAGAACGATGTCTGAATTAGCAGATCCCACAATGCAAGGGAAAGGTTTCTTAAAAGAGAATATGCATTCCTTATTACCAATATTATAGATAAGTCCAGGTCTGTTGCCATGCTGGATGACTTTGACTGCTCTCACTCCACTCCCTCCATCCAGAGAGAAACCCTGACACCATCCTGGAACACCATCTGGGTGGATTCCTTTCCCGATCCGCATGGTGCACCTGATCAAAGAGGACAAGACTTTAGAGAACTCCAGTAGCTATGTAGGTAAATTACACTTCTGCTGTGTTGAGTAATAAATTAATGACTGTGGTGGTGCAAATTATGCAGGCTCATTAAGTTAGATTTTCAAAAGCATCTGATGAGAGCCTTTTCTTTTGAACTCACATATTGGGCTGCTCTTTGTCAGTGTAGCAGAAGAGCAATGGGCTCAAACTCCTGGCTAACTCGTGCTCTTCAAACTGTCCAGCGGCATCCGTTTTTCCATTGTCCTGACGGAAAATCAGAGGCAGCCCTGGACACACAATAATGTAAATATTACAGATGTGTTTGTGTGTTCAGGTTAAAGAGAAAGTTCTGTCATCATTTACTCACCCTTTGTTTGTTTCAAACCTTTATTAGTTTCTTTCTTAAGTTAATCACAAACTAAGATATTTTGAAAAATGTTGGAAACCTGTAACCATTGACTTCTATAGTATTTGTTTTTCATAATATGCAGGTCAATAGTTACAGGTTTTCAGCTTTCTTCAAAATAACTTCTTTTGTGATTGACAGAAGAAAGAAACACAAAGGTTTTAAACCACTTGAGGATGAGTTAATTACATTTTTTGGGTTAACTATCCCTTTAAGTCCTAAATTCAAATTAAACCTTTAATCAGTGTATAAAATTAAAAGCATACCAGTTTTGTTGGCAAGCCAGTAGGGAGCAGAGATGAGGATTTTTAATGCTCCTTGGGCTCTGAGAATAATCCGGATGGTGAGACAGAGCAGGCGTTTGTTGACATCATAGAGCCGCATGCGCACCACATAGTTTTGTGTACCGGGAGGAATAAGCAGCTCTTTACACACAGGAAAGTTCTCTAATAGCACACCTGAGGACAAACAGCATACTTATGAATGCTTTATGTGGATAAAAAAAATGCAAACAGTGTTTCTTGTTAAAAGGCCATGAACTGCTTAAAAATTAATCCACAGAGTAAAATAGACAAATGTCTCATTGACATGATCTAAAACTTGATTTAAAAAAATGTTTTATAGTACAATAACATCTTATACATTAAGCCATGTGGAATCGGTTTTATTTTTCTATATATTTAAATAGATTTTTTAAAGTAATTATTAAAGTAATTATGGACTAAATTTCAGTTTGAATTTAAAATTAATGAATTTTAGCACTCAAAATGCGCTAAAATAATCATGAAAATTCTTCAATAGGGTATATGCGCAGCTAGTGTTTCTTCCCATACCAATAAACTTCCGGTGAACATTTAATGTGACTTTTTTCTATTTTATATGGTTCCTTTTGCAGCATTGATGTTGTAATATAATTCAAAAAAATTAATCAGTTAAATAAACTTCAGTGTTCATTTAGTTGTTCAAGCGTAAAATGAGATGAAAAGCCTTTTACACGCACCTTCCCATTAGGATCAGCAGGTTAGCGCAGAAACACCATTGAAAATAATTGGGCAATAATTGACCCAGGTTACTGACAAATTAAAAGTCCTTCTGCATATACCCTATTTAACAACAATTTATTTATTAACTTTTATTAAGACGATGTGAGTTTCTATGCGTACATGAGGTGACACTTTTATAACATAAAGTGCTAAAACACAGGTGAGGTGACTTTCATGACACATTCACACAGGGCGTTAGCGCTTCCTATTCACTTTGAATGGGTGATGTCAGGTGTTGCCGGACATTGCATTGTGGATCCGTCAGTGCAGCTTCAGTGGAGTTGCTTGCTGCAGAAGTTGGGAATTTCTCTACTTTTCAAGTGCCAATGGACATGTCAGCCAATCAGATCGCTTTATGCAATTACACCAGTTCGACTGCGAACTAATTTTATTGGCTGATGCTGCTATGACGATCACGTCAGCCCCAACTTTAGACACACCCTCTGTCAAGCGTTGACGCTGAAGCCCTATGTGAATCGGGCGTCAGATCAGCTCTGGACATGAAGTTCAAGTGTTTATGTCTTCGTATAGTAAGACTAACCAAGCTGCACCATCTATTCACACACAGAGAACATGCAGGCTTCATATTTAAAATCTCTTGTGGTTTAATATTCATTGACAATAATCCCTTAATTTATATAATTAGGCATCCAGCACTATTTTGAATCTATTCATGCAAAATATCTTACATTTTATGACAGCCAATATTAACTAATTCCATTTTTGACAGGGTTCTGAGATTATATCCGTGTTTTCCACTTCATGGAGATCATAGGGCCCTACTTCAGTTTGTAAAACTTTTTTAAATAAACTTCTCAATTCCCACCCTTTTAAATATGTCTAGAATGCATTAAATACTCCAGCTTACCAATTTCTATATTCTGTGACGTGTCCGCTGCATGCAGCACTGCCTCTTTTCCTGGCTTCATGGTTCCTTTGATTGAAGTGCCTTTGATATAGTAGTTGAGGTCACAAGGAAGAAGATTGGCCAGCACTAGGGTGGGCAGCAGAAAGATGGTGTGACCTGGCTGGCGGTAGATCTGCTTAGTGCCACCTCCCGCCACAGTTTTAGCAGGCTGCTGTTCAGGGTAGTTCTCTTTCTTAATGACAACACAGAACCTAAAAAGAAGTGGAAATGTATTCACAACTAATTTATCTTTGAGATCTTCTTTCTCCAGTCAGCCTGTTTGTACCTGAAGCTGCGTTTGAGTTGTTCATCAAAATCTGCTGACTGACATTCTCTTTTGCTGCTGCTGACCTCCCCAGGTCGCTCCACGCTTGTCCAATGGATTGGCACCTTACAGAAGAATAGCCCCAAGCCTTTAGGTCTCGCCTGAAGCCTCCAAGATGTTAGATGGAGAGGGATGGCTAAAGCTTCTCCAGGCAGGATTGGTGGCAGGACTACGGGCTCTACAGAAGAATCATATTAGAGTCATAGAAGATAAACACAGGTAAACCATAGCAAACAAAGCATATGCTAGTTTGTGGACACTTACTGTCTGGAGCCGAAGGGCTGTCTAGTCGCACTTCCATGGGAACCTCAAGGCGATTCTTCACTGTGAGCGCAGACTGCACTGTAATGACCTTACGAGCGCTGCCCTCCATAGTGATGGAGAAAACTACTCGAACAGGCGGCAAAGCTGAGAACTAAACAGAGAAGCAAGTGTGTAGCCTCTAGAATCATTTAGAGAGCAATGTTATGAGATACAAACACTTACATATACATGCGGGTGTATGATGTTGGTTCTGCTAATTGGACTGCCAACCTAGAAAAGTCATATTAAATATTTATGAAGCATTTGTTTATTTCATGAACTACAGAAAGATTTTGTATTTCAAAATGATGAAATAACAAGACTTCTGGAGACTCATGAGAGTATACATGCATGCAGAGAACCGCTAATATGTTATGAGAGTATACATGCATGCAGAGAACCGCTAATTACTACTAAGTTTAGTGTTGTTTTCCAAAACTCAAAGCCTCATTTTCCACAAGGCCATCTACTGAACTCTCACTAGTTCAAACTGTTTGGCTCTACAACTATGTGGACACCTATTCATTGTACATATCATTGTCAATTTTACATTGTTCGTTTTTTGTTTTTTTTCTTTTGTTGTATTCGTTGTATGTTGTGTATTTGCACTGTCTGTATTTTGTATTGTCTGGAGCCAGCACCTAAGCTTTTTACTCATCATAGCACACGTGCTGCTGATGATGTGGCAATAAAAGTGATTTTGATTAGATTTGATTTGATTTAGAACTCACTGTGCTCGAGGGGTTGTTTCGATCTGGGGCAGCGTAGCGGAAGAAAACCCCAACTTTGTCAACAGACACAGGCTTTACCTGCTCCCAGCCCACAACACGTACTAGCAGTTGGTGGAGCTTCAGCTCATGGGTGTGTCTGTGGTTGGAGAACATCAGCAGCAAACACATGAACAAAATGATTTAAAAACAAAAAGACAAGAAAATACATTTTTCCAAGCATGTTTATGATAATTACAAGAAAAATATCCTTTAGTAAATTAATATTATTTTTCATAATACACTTCATATTACACACAATTTTAAAAATGCATTGTATTTTAAACGCTATAATTCTAAACTTTTCTTCTGATGACAAACAAAGGGCAACTAGATGTTAAAAGCCTATTGCTATTGATATACTGTTTAAATTTGCCTTCAGGATCGGCTCTAATTTGGTTGCATTATTATCGTTAAGTACTACCTTAGCATGCATAAACAGGGATACATACTGTGTAGCTAGCTAACTTTAAAGCAATTTTTTGTCATTTAAAATTTTATAACAATTAATAAAGTAAAAACAACAACAACATCAACAACAAAAATCACATTTTCATTTTGATTAACATAACTAACTTATAGCCCAAATTTATATAAAAATATATTATGAAATATAATAAATTAATAGTAAAAGTTTACAAAAAACAAACATAAAATTACTACACTTAAAACTAAATTAACAATTAAAAACGAACGTCAAAATATTAATAAAAAACATATGAAGTCATCTTAACTTTATACACATTTAAATAATACTAAAATAATACTGATGGCAAGCAATTGCTTTCAACAACATCATGCATTGCAGCTTGTTTAAAACAAGTTCTGCCTAACTTTTTCTTTTTTTTTTTTTAATAAAATATTTTGCTTGCTATTTTCCAGGCTAACGTGGTTAATCCAAATAGAAATAAATAAAAATGGGGGGCAATTTCAGCTACTTAGAAGTGTGATCTCTGTAATTTTACAGATTCTGTCACCTGTGTCTATTATTAAAAATCATAACCTATAGATTAAATAGTACAAAAGAAAGAAAACTGCAAAGTTCCAAACAATTTATCAAAACCATGCATCAAAGCAGGGCAATATATTTGAGAGGCACTCTTTGCTACCTGTGCCGAAGTTTCTCACGGGCCTCAAACTCAAACGGGATCTCCTCTCCTGGCAGCACCTCTCTCCATTGGCTGATGTTGTGTGTATCATCTGTCCCAGGCCCATGAACTTCAGATATAGAGTCAGCACTACTGCTGTGGGACAGCGCCACTCTGTGGACACAGCACAAACAATATGTATTTTCACCAACTAGAAGATGTAGTTAAATTATGTTAACAATACATGTGCCATCCTCTGACCTGGTTGGTGTGGTAGTGAGAGTAGCAAACCACATGGTGCAGCCGGTATGATTGCGTAAAGCATAGGGCACAAACGGCTGCCTCCTCTTAGATAGCTTCATATCCGCTGAAAAATGCCATAAACATAAAATCAGCAACATTGAGGTTTTGCTCAAGACTTATCAACAGGGTTCCCACTCCTTCAAGAACAGCAGATTTAAGGACTTTTTATAGCACTATTCATAATAATAATGTAATAATGATGTTTTTAATGTTTCATTTTCCATAAATGTAGAAATTAAACAAATTTTCCCTTTAAACAGTTTGTTTAAAGAACTTTATTTTAATAGATTAAGTTGAATTCAGTACTAGTATTATTCATATGCAGTTTCTGAAATTTGTTCAGAATTTGCATAATTTGTCATAACTCTTGTACAAAATTTAAATTTAGGATTTTAAATGAGGGATTTCTCTTTTTTCCATTATGTTTTGACAGCAGCAGCACACTCAAAAAATTATGTTTGTTGTTAGACTACTTATATAAAATGAGCTGAAACAACTAAATTCTTGAGATTGTTTTAGGACAACTACATTGTTTTGTGTTCAATTTACTTAAATTGGTAACAAATAAAAAGTTAACTTAATTCCTTCATGTTGTCTCGACACAAATCGATTGCGTGGAACTGAGCATTTTTATCACACAGTACAATTCTCAGCAAGCATTTTTTGTTTTTAAAAAGACGTACAAACATAGTCATCTTGGTTAAAACAAGGTAAAAATCTAATAGATGTCTAAGAATAGGCCAAAACTAGACTAGACATCAAATAAACAGAAATGAATGAGTACACATATAAAGTCGTCTAATTTGTCTGTTTGAACTATTTTGGGCTATTCTTAGATGTCGATTAGATTTTCACTGACAGCCCAAGTTCAGCCTTGTTTTAGCCAAGCTGTCTACATTTAGATGTCTATTCGATGTTATTTACAAACAAAATAGTTTGCTGGGTTGTTGAAATAACACCATAAACAAATTTCATTTCGAATTTAATTCAAGGACCTATGTACTGTTTTTAAGTATTTTCCTGGCCTTGAATCCTACGGTCTGAAATTTAAGTACTTTGAAGAAGTGTGGGAACCCTGGATCAACCAAATACCAATTATGAAATTGGTTTGGTGAGAAATGAACTTGAAATGTTCCTCACTGAAGTACAGCCCAAATCATATTCATAAAAATTCAACAGAAAAAAAGGCTTTACACGTCAATTTTACAACACATTGTTAGCGATGCACAATATTAGATTCTTGCTTATATCTGATAAGCCGATATTTTTATATTTTTTCTGATATAAACTTTGGCCAATATCTTTTTTGAAGTGTTCGCTTACAAGTGTGATTTTTATTTCCCATAAGCTGTAGCTTCTGACCATTAAATTAAATCAGACTTGTGATTTGATGACACCAATTAAAGCTAAATTTCTAATAACTTTAATTTAATAACATTAAACATTTATTGAACATTCTGATCATATCGTGCATCCCTATCATTTTGTAAAAATCAACTATGGCATTGAAGAAATATGGCATCATAAACCACTATTTAACACAAAAGAGGTTTAATAAATGGCAATGGGTTCAGGGTGAGGGGTAAATCAGGGGTAAGGAAAAGAACAAAAGCTCAGAACTCAAGAAAACGAGGCTTTCCTAAACTCTATGACACCAAACACGATGAGGGTCTGACTCTGAGTTTGTCTACGCCTCTATGAACTGTACCTCGGGCATGAATCTGCTGCTCGAGACAAGTCAAGCTGGTAGAGCTTCTAGTTCTAAGGTAGGCAAGAGGAAGACCTGACAGCAGAGAGAAAGGGTTAGGGAAAAGAGAGAGAGAAAGAGAGAGTCATGCTAGGAGGCTGTGGGAACAGGACCGGAGATGCATACGGTCAGAGAGGGTAGAATGAGATGCACACATCATGGTACTTCACACTGTGATCTTATCTAATATTACTGAGTCAGCCATTCATTTGAAACAATATAAAGATTTACATTAATATTTTTGATAAATGCCATTTTCTGGATCTTGTTTCACTTTGACTTATGTAATATTTATTTTATGTATTAATTGTGTCAAGCCGTTCAACATTTTTCTTTCTTCAATGGACGGGTACAAACTCAGGGCATCCAAAATGTGGTCACTTTAAATTAAAATTTTTATTTATTCATTCAATCATTCATTCATTGATAGTTTTGATAGTTTTTTCTGTAGTACTAGAGGCACATTTGACTTTTTAAAGGGATAGTTCACAAATCATCATTTAGAACCCAATAATTATTATCATAACCCACTGATTGTTTTCATTTACTCCTTTATAAACCAACAACAATATATAATACTTGATTTCAAGTGACAGTAAAGACATTAATATATATATATATATATTTTTTATATTACTCATGTATAATGTAAAGATTTACATTTCAAATAAATGCTGTTGTTTTTAAAACTTTCTATTCTAAGAAAAAAAATAATGGTTTCCCCAAAATATCATGCATTACAACCTTTTTTTGGCGCTTTATGAAAAGAAATTTAGATCGAGCACCAAATCAGCATATTAGAATTATTCCTGAAAGATCAGGTGTCAAGTGGATCAAGTCAACACAGCACTAACCACAAATGAATACTTCATAACACATTTTAAATTGCAATATGACATTTTTTAAATATTTTATTTTATTTTTTATATTTATTATTGTTTTTTTTTTTTTTTTTTACAGTTTAATCTTTTTTTTTTTTTTTTTTTTTTACAGTTTTTACATCATAAAAATGCTGACTTGTTAAGTATCCCACCAACCCTCTTCAGCTTTAAAAACTATGTCAGAGATAAAATAAGTTTCATTACACTACCGGTGAAAAGTGTGGGGTCAGTAGGATTTTTAGATGTTTTAAAACAAGTTTATCCTGCTCATCAAGGCTGCATTTATTTAATTAAAAATACAGTACAAATTGTTAAATTGCAAAATGTTTTTGCACTATAAAATTATTGTTCAAAAGTAGTTTATCATTTAATTTAATAATTTATTCCAGTGATTTTAAAGATGAATTTTCAGCTTCATTACTCCAGTCTTCAGAGTCACATGATCCTTCAGAAATCACTGTAATATTACTTTTTATTATTGTTATTATAAATATTATTATTATTAATGTAATAGTAATACAATCAATAACGACTGGAGTAATATTTTGAAACTACATACAATAAGAAAGCATGCATTTTAAATTGTAATAAATATTTAACAAATTAAATTTTTTTTTTTTAAATTTAATAAATGCCGCCTTGATGAACAGAATAATTTTCTTAAAAAAAAAAAAAACATGACTTTCGACCAGTAGTATATATACACGAGTATGTAACACACAAAACGGCAGTTCTTTTTTTCCCCCAATCAGAGGACTGCTACTCACTTTGGCCAAAGGAAGGAGGATCCACTGAAGAGCCCATCCAAGATAGAGCGGCAGAGGGCTGTGGCGACTGCTCGTCTTCCTTACAGTAATCTGCTAACCACGAAGTCTTGGTGGTGCTGTACTGCTCTGTGTGTCAGAATGATAAACCCACAGCACAGTGTCAGAATCAACATACCACTCATAAATATGGAAGCAAACAGTCAGAGAAAAGCTCAGAGGCATGCGAGAGTGTTTGACCCAGACTATATACCGAGTAAGACAGAGGTGATGTTGACATCCAGCCTCTGCTTGGCTCGAACACCGATCTTCAGGCGCGGAGGATGGAGCCGGCCTGCCGCCTGTCGCTGCCAATCCAGGAAACACGGCCAAGGCTCGATGAATGGCTCCCAGCCTGCAGACACAAGTGTGTGTGCTTATGAAGGTGTGCAGAAATGCATAGAGTAGGGCTTACATTTCACAATTAGTTCACAAGTTCATATTTGAAAATGACCCATGTGGTTTTCCTTGGAAACGTGACATTTGGCAAAATGGAGGTAAAATAGTCAACAACTAAAAATTTTTCTTTTTTTTTTTGATGAATCAAGTACAAAAAATAATGTCACAAGCTTTGTGATAGGCTTTTTAATTGGAGTTGGTTTGGTGTTTAATTTGGAGCTTTTTGTATATTTTTGTACTTCCTATGGTTGGGCTGAGCACCCATTTTAGATTGATGTGCATGGTTTTGTGCACTTTTATTGATGAATGAATACAGAATCACCATGAATAATATTTATTTTACATCATCAAAATAAGGCTTCTGAGCTATTCCACACACATGCACACAGACTAAATATAATTATATCAGTGTTATTTTAATGTAATCTACTAACATTTTAAATAAACTTATTCATTTTTCATATTAATTTGAGCTATATTATCTGTAATAGAATATTTCTATTTGATTGTATTTTGTTTCAGATTTAGTAAATGCAGTATTTTGAAGTATTTACTTTAGCTACACAGCGTTGTTTTATATTTCAATGAGCTTTGTCATCATCTAACACTAAATAAAAATTATATTTAAACAAAATTATTAAGTAACAAAAATAAATTTAATCTTTTCTCATTTTAAGATTTCAAATACATTTTTAATGCATAAATTAAATTTAGCAATTTAATTTATTTAAACTAGTATTCAGCCTTGATATTTAAATATTATTGGTTATTGCCTGCAGAATTAAACCTATCGGCTTAAAAGCCAGAATTTAAAAAGGCAAGGCAAAGGCAAACTTTATTATAGAGCACAATTTTACACAACCAAAATGGTTGATACAAAGTGCTTTACAATAAAATAAACTACAAAATAAAACTAAAAACTGGTATTAAAAATACAAGGGGAAAAAAAAAAAAAATATATATATATATATATATATATATATATATATATATGTATATATATATATATATATATATATATATATATATATATATATATATATATATATATATATATATAATACTAAATACTAATAGTAATACTAAAAAACAAACTCAAAGGCAAGAGAGTAAAAATGAACGAAAAATTCTGATGTTCAGAGGGAGACCGTTCCAGAGCCTTGGGGCCGCAACACAGAAAGCTCCATCACCTTTTGATTTGTAGCAAGACCGGAGGACAGACAAAAAAAACTGGTCATGGGATCTTAACGGTCTACAAGCTGAATGAGGCCAAATAATTTCACTGAAATAGGCCGGGGCAGAATTGTGCAATGCTTTATAAGTGAAAAGAAGGATTTTAAAATCAACTCTAAATTTTATAGGTAGCCAGTGCAATGAGGCGAGGACAGGGGAGATATGATCTCTTTTCTTAGTTCCTGTTATTAATCTGGCGACTGCATTTTGGACCAACTGTAGCCGAGAGAGTGTTGACTGGGGTAGACCAATATACAAAGAGTTGCAGTAGTCTAACCAAGAGGAAATTAAAGCATGAGTTACAGTTTCTAAATCTTTTTTTAGAAAGAAACGGTTTAACTTTTGCCATTAATCTAAGCTGGAAAAAACTGCTCTTCACAACTGCTTTTACATGTTTGTCAAACTGCAAGACAGAAAAATTAGTGCATCTCAATTTTCCTGAAATAATTGTCATTTTTATCCGAGATTTCTGGTGCCGTATCAAAATGACCATAAGCTTAAACTCAAACACAACATCACAAAACAGCCCACAAAGTAGAACATGCCTTTGAATCAGCAGGATGTTATTTGAATTGTAGAAGGGACTGGCTAACTGACATTCAGGATGACAGCTATACCAAGATCTCACCTGAGAGTTCCCTGTTGTAATAATCTCCAGACAATGTGAAACTAGCCTTGCCTTCCTGCATAGAGCCAATCCTCTGGAGAACATAAAGACCTGTGGAGGAGAAAACCTGCTACAGAAATGCCAGCTAGAAATACAAAGTATAACAGTATGCTGTCATCCTCACGTGAGAAGGTGATCTCTGCCAGAGGGACGTCACAGTCCAGACAGTCATCGATAAAACAGATACACACATTCTCGGCCTTCACTTCTACTCCAGACAGAGGAGGAGCAGAGTGGCTGCTGGAGCCTGAGTTGGTTCGGCTTCTGCCCGACATGCTCTCTGCATTCTCCCATAACCATGTGGCAGCCTGATCCAACTGACCTGAAATATATCGCATATGTACATAGACAAATGAAGCACGCAATCCTCTGATTCAAAAGTGTGAGTTTTGCAATATTACTAGACTAATGCAATACCTCTACAGTGAATAAGTGCCCGTCTGCAGTCTTCCTTCCTGAACCCAAGGTCCTGCAATCGAGTAAGCTGACCTTCTATAATAAAAACATTTGCAAAATAGTTATTTAAAAGGATGGTAAAGCAAAAGGAATTGCACATTCATGTGATTTCAAACAATGCATGGCCATACCAAACCATCAGTTTGGAGGTCATTTTGTGTAAATAATTCCAACAAGGCTATCAGATGTTTTCAAAAGTGTTAGTATACAGTGGGTGAGTTATTCAAATCACTTTTATTATGCTTTCAAGAAATACCTGTAAAATCTTTACAAAATAGTTTTGTGCAAGGTTTTGTCTGGCTGATATTTTGCTGAGGTTTTTGTTAAGTTTGTGAATATAAAAATGTTGACAATGTAAAATATGAGCTCCAGTGCTGTGCTTGCTGTTACTGGCTAGTGACATGCATGTGTCAGTTGTTTAGTGCGATATTTGACTGGACAGCTGGGTAAAAAGTGACAGCGATAAATGCTATGTAAGCATAGTGATGAAAAAACAAATATGAAAAATCCCTTTGTTGATTTTAAACGCTTCTATTGTTACAATTGTCTTACAAAATCTTAAAAAAAAAAAAAATTAAAATCTTCTAAAGATTGACTCTTTACCCTCAACAGTTTTATAACTAACTCTAGCAATTTTTTTCAACTTAAAAAAATTAAATAAAAACAATGTATTTATTTATTTTTTTAATTGAAGACATTTCAAATTTAGAATAAAATTGAGCAAATTGAGTAATAGCAATACTCGTCTTTATGGGTGAAGTATTAGTTCCTTTAAAAATGTTTGATCAATGAACAAACCCAGTAAAGCCTCTGTCTTTTGCCGGAAGCTATCCTTTGTTTTGGATGGAGTGTCAGTACTGGCAGTGGATGCTGAACTCTCCGCGTCTACGGCAGTGTCTGAAGGGTTGGCGGATGCTGCAGTGGGAATGGACTTAGCTATTGCCAAGAATAGCTGCACATCATTGTAGGAAAGACGGATGTCTAGAGCAGGAAATTGGATCTGTCGGGAAACCAAAATCTTGAATTATGCATTGATGGCTCTTCCTGACACATGTATCAGTTGAATTCAATACTGACCTCCAAGAGAGGTGGAAAGTCCTCTATGTTGAAGGCATCAAGGAGGCCTGAACTGCTTTGGTACGTTGGGCTTCCACAGAGCTCCATTTGGACATTGACAGGATCGATGATAGACAAAGCGGTTTCCTGCTCGCTCCCCAATCGACAGGAGAAAACCTAAATAGGAAAAGAATAAAAATCACATAAAATTAAACTCTAAATGCTTTAAATCATAGATAACAAACAGTCACAGATGTCCAGGGCCTCACATCACCTCAATGCCTGCTAAGCTGCCAGAGAAAGGCCTGTCAAGAAGTCGAGGCTTGTATGTGAGCACAGTGGTGCCTTTCAGAATGATAGCGTTGGTGTCTAAACAGGAAGAATCTTCAACCACCACAAACTCTGTCCCTGGAGGAAAACAAAAAATATGTCTGGTCACTATGAATTATTTAAAAGAAACTAATACTCTAATGAATCAAAGATGCATTAAATTGACGTTAAAGACATATAATTTAAAAAAAGACTATAATTTCATAGTTTCCAAAGTATTATATAGGTACCTCGTTATTAATGATGTTATGGTTATAACTGTTAATTTAATTACTTCTATAGTCCTTATTTATAAGTTGTTTTGAATAAAAGCACCTTCCAGTAAAGTAAATGCAAATTCAAAGCTAATGGAAAAAGTTACTATTCCCACATGTTTTTATTTCTTATCAGTGAATCTCCTGAACTTATATGGTTGAAGTGATTTTGTTGTTGTTGTTGTTGTTTTGAACTCTGCATGTTTAATAATTTGTATCCTTTTATATATCTACTATGTGTTTTGTATGTGGTAGCCCTTATGTCCAAGACAAATTTCCTTAAGGACAAAAGATAATCTTAAAAAAATTCTTCCCTCTTTAAATCTGAAGCATCCTATTCCGTTTCAATTCAATTTATACGTTTCCAATGGCATGTACATGTTGAAAAGTGCTAGAAATGAACCCAGTATTGTTACCCGTCACATTGATTTTGACCTCCAGCTGTTTATCTTGAGTGACCGGCACAGTGGATCGCTTGGTGACCACGCCACTCTTGACAGTTTTGGGCATGACGGCTCCTGTGCAACCTTGGTCACTGCTGCCACTTGGCCAGCGCTGGTGTGTTGGCGCTGTACCTTTTTCCACAGGCATGTGCAGAAAGTCCTGGACCAGCTGTAGCCAATCAAAAATGAGGAACACTCGCAGATTGTTTAAAACCACTGTGAAGCATGAAGAGTCCCGTGTTGATCTGTGAAACAGGCAAAATACAGAATATAGCATACATTTACTGCTCATATGCAGTTAAACGTGGTTTCGGTAAGGAGTCCTGACCTGTAATGTAGCTCTAGCTGCAGCGAGGCTCGGTTGGTGCCAGTCCTGGATGGCTGCAGAATGCAATCAAACACATTGTGCTTCCCTTCTGTAGGGGCACTGCTGCCAGTTAGTCGAGTGTCGTGGGCCAGGAGTGAATGGGAGACCAGGTTCACAGACTTTGAACCATTAGAGAAACTCTCAAACAGGAGCTTTGATTTCATAAAGTCAAACCTATTTGGAATGAAAGGTTAAGTATGTCAGATATATCATTAGTCTATGAAAAAGTGCAGGAAAATAAAGAATTCTGAATGAACGATGTACCTTGCCAAGGAGCAGTTATGACCTGTGGATTTATGGTTGTCCAGTAACTCGAGACTGACGTCCTTCATGTCCACCAGAAGAGACAGGGATGTGAACACATCACCACTCAAAACGGTCTGCAAGATGACAGTTACATTAATACATTATGGCAGTCCTGCTAAGACCGCACATTACTTCATCTTACAAAAATTAATATAAAATAATAATAATTGTATTTTCTCTGCTTTCCGTCTTCATTACAGATAGAAATCAGGAAGCAACGGAGGTAGAACTAATTACTGAATTTGAGAAACTAGAAAAGCCAGAAACTAATAAGACAGTTTTGTCTTCATTACAGATAGGAACAGGAAGCCACAGGGGAATAAATTACTGAATTTGATTGAGAAACAAACAAGCCATTCTCCATAATATATTTCAGGAGTGTAATATTTAGGACATTAAGTGCAGTTTTTTTTGTATATTACTGTTCCATACAGTTAATAACTGCTAGATAACTGTTAATTACTGGTATTAAACTAAAGTGAATCAACACTGAACTGAACTAAGCTTAATATAAATTATCCTTGCACAGAGATGCTTTTACAGTAGCTTAATTAGTTCATAATTGATAAATTTTATCCAGTAACTAAACTGGATAAAGTCTTTTTAGAGGTGCAAAATGGAAGAATTTGAATTAGTCTCATTTAATGAGGTTTCATCATTCATTCTGTTATTGTCCTGCTTTGTTTATGTAAACCGGTTTTTAATAGGGGAAAGGAGTATGTGATAGTTTTTTTTTTAATTATAGGTGGGCATAGATTAATTTTTTGAATCTAGATTAATCTCTGAATCAATCTAGATTAAAATGGCTCATTTAAATTCTGCTGAAGGCATGCAGAATATATGTGTTATACCAAAATAATGACTAAATATAAGTCTTTGAGAACGGGTTTCTGAAACCAGGTGGCGCAATATACCAGGGGCTCATCTGCTGTTTCCAAAATGCATCACAAACTGGTTCAGAAACTGTTTTACTATGATAATTGGTGATGAAAATAAATGATGTTCAATAAGATGTGCTTGTGTTTACTAACTGTTTATTCAGGTAAACATGAATTTTGAACTGTAGACCTATATAAGCTCAAAACAGCGATATTTGATTACCTTAATGGAATTAAGACATGGAGCATGAATATATTAGTAGCAATAATGAACACCGCAATCAAACTATTAACGTCATGTAGAAATTTTCGCCATATTTTCCGACAAGATCCACACACGTGGCTGTCAGTACAGGACTGCAAACACACACACAAACACATCGTAAAATGCGGAAGTCTTTTCTTTTTATTTGGCGTGCGCTATTAAATTCCATAACACTCTCACCAGTCCTTACTAGTTATTTGCGTCTAATACCCCAGTTTGTCTTGGCGGCATGAATGAAATGTTCATGAGTTAAAGTGAAACTGCCACGCTGCAGTTAAAGTTAGGCATCCTGATTTGATTCAGAAGGGCACTTTTTTCGTCAGACGGCTCACCGGTCAGGTATACATCCGTGCTTAAATATTAGATTGAAAGTCATCATAGCCTGCATTGAAAAGACCCTACTCCCAACCCAACTTTGAGAATAGATTAACAGCGCTATATTTTTTTGTCGCGTGATAAGAGTCTCGCGTTAACGCAGCATGTTAACACAGATAACAGCCCAACATTATTAAAAATATATAATAATTAAACAGTATTTGGCTGTAAGTGTTTTGTACTGGTACCTTAGTTTGTTTGGGCCTGATATAATTATAATAAATAAATAATAAATAATTAGCATACCAATTTAACTATTACTTTTGTTTTATTGGATAAATTAAAAAAAAGTTTTTTACTTTCATAATTTGACTTTTAGAGTTATACCAACTGCTTTATAAAAGACTTCACCAGCAATTATGATAATAGATGATAAACACTGCCCACCACTAGCTGTGGTAACAAGCTTACATATGAGCTGGGGTCCTGAAGATTATAAGGTCTGAGAAACTCCTCCACAGGCTCTCCCAGATTGTGCTCCAAGAGTCCACGGATCATCTGATACCTCTTCAGGTCCAACGAGCAGTGGACAGAAGACAGGCTGCCGTGAATGGACATGTCTGGGACAGCATGACTTAATTCCCTGAGGCACAAATGAAATACACGATAATTTAATTACAAAATGGGAGTATTTTTGGAACGGACAGGAAACAGAAGACTAAATTTGTACAATGGACTGACTTGTCCAGGTTGCGCTCCACTTTCAGCTTCAGATGGCAGCGCTCCTTTAACAGGCTCTCCCCACTTCTACGCACTGAGTAGGATGGGAATACCAAATCTGTTTCTAGATGCTTTCCAGCACTGTCCCAGGGCTCACAGGGCAACCGCTCTGCAGCAAAAATGTCCATCTCTTGAAGGTCAAGTGCTATACAGTCCAGCAGACACACATGGTCTTCTGTAACACATATAAATTAAATTTCTCTGGGTAAATGATACAAACCCAGCTTGGGAATATAAAATGACAACTAATAAAATTTCATTTAGCATTTTTCCCCAGTAATGAAGCAATTTGGTTGCTAACCTAGACCTAGAACATCTCCTTCTGGTATGCATCCGAGACTGGGCTGAGGTTTGCCCAGCATAAATCCAGAAGATGTGCTGAAACTTGTAGGCCTTTTTTGACTAGTCTTCCCAGCATCAGAAGTGAAATGGACATCCTTCACTCGATCCTTCAAGAATGATTCATATTATTAATCAAGTAAAGAGAAACCCAAAAATTAATCTAACACATTCATCCATTACAGAACCAGTAGAGACAATCAGCATTTTCAGAAAATCAGAAAACTTTAGCATCTTAAAAATATTTACATTTTAAAAATATAAATATCAACCAAAGTAAGAGTTAAGTGTGTGCACCGCAGCTGAAATACTGATTCTGAAAACTCACATTGCAATTACACTGAGATAAGGCATTTCATTTAAATTTACCCACACAGTTTGCTAATCTTCAAATGCATGCACGAGTCAGTTTTAACAATTAAGAGCAGTTCACCCAGAAACAACATTCATTATTTACTCTTTCATGTTTGTACAGGTTTAGTGCATGATAAGGAGTAAATAATGTCATTCTTATAATTTTTGTGTGAAATTACAGTGTTAAAGTTCACTGCATTTCGTGCAGGCATTGCTAAAGTGTAATTTACTTAACGTGAGTCATGAAAACAAGATAGGAGAGAAGGAAAACCATCATATTATGAAATAAAACACACATACACACACCAGTTTAGCATGCCCTAATACCTTATAAAATGAGGGATCCTTGTATGAATTTGCATGCAAAATCAAATTCTTCAAAAACAAATGATGAGAGCGATGTTAGTGTTTTTAAACAGTTACTTTTAAAGGGATAGTTCGCCCAAAACTTTAAATTTAAACTTTAAATCAATATTTATCCTCAAGTGGTTCCAAACATTTTTTAATTTCTTTATGTTGAACACAAATTAACATATTAAGAATAAAGCTGAAAACCAGCTAATCATTGAGATCCAAAGTAGAAATAAATACTTGTATGGAAGTAAATTATAGGAGTCAATGGTAACTAGTTTCCATTGTTCATCAAAATATATTTTTGTGATTAACATAAGAAAGAAAGTCAAAATGATTAGTGACAACTAATAGGCGAGTAAAGTATGTCATACATTCGGTTTTGTGTTAACTATCCCTTTTATTAATATCTGACAAACTGCAAACAATTACACAGTTGTGTTAAATCTAATATCAAAGTTTTGGTGGAAAAAATGTGAACTGTACCATGCGCAATAAAGAATGGGACTACATCCATGAAGCACTTTCTCTAAAATTGTTTGAGATATTAAGTCTTAGCTATTAAAACTCAATGATGATTTAAAGTCTTTTCACATAATAAAATCCTTCTCAGATCGCAGCAAACAGTAACAGGAAAAATGCTCCTTAAATGCATCCCACATCTGGCAGATAATATAATGTGTACAGTATTTTGGGATGACAGGACTCACCAGAGAAGGGAAAAAGGTATGTGCCATTGTAAGTTTCTCTACCTTATCTCTGAGAGAGAAGGTGCCACGAGCGCCAGCTGGCAGAAAGCAGTTACGCACTCTGAGTTGGCCCAGGTTGGCCACTATGAGGCGTTTCGAGCGGGAGCTTTCTGGGATCAAGAGGACAGGAGCACCTGCCTCTATGTCCAGCAGCACACGAGCAGCTCGCTGTGGCCTCTCACGCACCTGGAGGATAGACAGTGAATTAACAGCAATCCCCTGACAAGGTTACTAGAATGTCATCATGACTACCTAGAAATAAATGTTATCCCACCACACATCCCGGGAATCTCTTGTGAGGCGCTAAGCTAATTTAGAAATGTTATAAATAAATCATGTTTAATAATGTTTAAAAATTTGTGGTTTGTTGAATTTGTTTTGTGTGATTAAAAATAAGTATTTTCCATTTTTTGTGTTTCAAGTTTCACTTTTCAGTTTCAGCCTTTGGTGAGCATTGAGGAAGCTTAGCCTACTAGTTGAGTATTGAGCATGTAATCAAGAAAATATGCTAACGACTTTCAATACACATATAATGTATCATTACCTAATTTAAAAATATTAATAACATTATTATTCATAATAATAATAATAATTTAATTAAATAAACAATAGTCATTTTAATCAAATATTAAATTATAAAAAAGATATTTAGATTTTTTAAATTGTATTAAAATAAGCTAATAAATACACTAGTGTAAAGAGTAGTTTCTTGTCAGCTTAGTCCCTTTATTAATTCGGGGTCACCACAGCGGAATGAACCGCACATTTTTACGCAGCGGATGCCCTTCCAGCCGCAACCCATCTCTGGGATACATCCACACACACATTCACACACACACACACACACACACATACACTACGGACAATTTTAGCCTAACCAATTCACCTGTACTGCATGTCTTTGGACTGTAGGGGGAAACCGGAGCACCCGAAGGGCGAATGCAGGGAGAACATGCAAACTCCACACATAAACACCAACTGAGCCGAGGCTCGAACCAGCAACCTTCTTGCTGTGAGGTGGCAGCACTACCTACTGCGCCACTGCTTCGCCCAGAAATAAAAGTTACATAATAAAAACGAATATTTTTCTAATATTTTATTTAGACTCATTTATATACATTTTGACCATAAAAAATTGTGCTTTTAATAAAAAAATCAACCAAAATTCCAGGCAATAATGATTGAGATTAATAAATCAATAAAATCAACAAAAAAAAAGCTGAAATAGCTGCAAATATTGCTGCTATCTTATTACAAAAATGTAAAAAGCAGAAAAAAGAGAGTCTGACAGTGAGACACGACAGTGGGCAATTGCTGATTCTCCGCTTGTGGTATTTAGGAGGAGATTAAAGGCAGGACAGACAGCTCAGTGTCCAGTCTCATCACCAGTGTCTCCAGTTTGAAAGAAATGAGTGTTGACAACTACTTCTATAACTCTATCATGTCTCTGCAGAGAAGGATTGAGGGCAGCCAGCTGATCATCCCAATGGCAAGCAGTTATCTGAGCAGCAATAGCTGATTTGTTTTCCCTGGGATACATGCATCATTTGCACTAGACTAGGTTATACAAAAGCACACATGGATGGGCTATGTAAACATTATCTCTCATTCTGTCCAAAGGTTACTACTGAACAAACTGAATAAAAACGGCCCACTTACCGCCTGACCCTCAACGGCTGCTCTCTGCCTGCCCAGGACATCCTGTAGCTGGGTGAAGTGTTGGATAAAGGCCACTACCTCAGCCTGGAAGCGCTGCGTATGGACATACTGTACTGAGGCCATCTGTAGAGACACCTTCATATCATATTCTCGCTGCAAGAAGAAGTCAGTTTCTCCATACCTGAAGATAGAAGCAGGGTCAATGCTAAATCATGGGAAGACAAAATGTGTAACTACACGCAATAAACATGAAATCAATTATGTAATGAGAATATACTTGTAAATGTTATAGACGAGAGCCTCTCCACCCCGTGTTGTAAAACGTTCTCTATATAGATCCCCATGGGGGGTCAAATCACTCAGAGATAAACTTCCCAGACTCCCTTGCAATGCCAAATCTCCATCTGAAAAGTCATATATAAATTAAACAAAAGCCAACATTGGGGAAAAAAGCCTGTTTTACAAATGTTGTACAAACCAATCATTTCCATATGTGTAAACAGTTTAGAGACGCTAGCTTTGGCAAGCTCATTGGTTTTCTTCCTCAACACCAGAGATAAAGAATGAACCTGTAAAGAAAATTGTTGCAAATTTTAGGAAAAAAAACTCTAGTATTTGCTGAACATATGAAATATACATTGTTTTATGAATAAAAATGTTTAAATTCATACCTTTAAGTCTAGCTTTGTATTAACCCCTTCCTCAATCTCTGGATACAAATCACTCAAATCATTGAGTGTACTATTTTCTGGCGAGTGTTCATGCATAGGCTGTAGTGTGGTTGTAGGCACTTTGACTGCATGATTATTAGCAGTAGAGCCAATGCCAAAGAAGTCAAGAATCATGACCCAGGTTTGCAGAGTTATGAGAATATCAAGGCAGTTGAAGTCCACGTCCACACTACGACCGATGCTGCCATACCGTGTCTTAAACTCAGGGTGCCGCCTATCAACCATTAAGACATTGATATGTACCAAAGAGTCGTCAAAGTCTGGCCGTGGATGTGGAGATGGAGTTTGGCGGGATGGGGATGGAGGTGGTGTGCTGGGACACTCTGCATCCTTCTTGCTCTTACGACTGGATGCAGATGGCGTGCTGGGATGCCTCTGATAAAACTGGAAAACATTCTGTGCCTCTTCGAATTGAGCTGGAAGAGAACGGGGCATTTCAGTGTACAGAACATTGGATGCTGTCGGACAAGACTGTGACAGGTATTCCTTTGGACTAAAGGTGGAAGGCTTTGGAGCACCTCTGGACACCATGAGGTGTTTGTATTTTGATTCAGGGTTTGGCTCTAGCAAGTCTTCCATTAACAAGGAGTGAAGGGCTAGTTGGATGGAGATTGAATGAGGATGATCTTTGGTGAAGTCCCCTTCCAGGTCTTGAAACCGTAGACTAACCAACCCTTGAGATCCTTGGCTGAGGTCTCCACTTAACTGCACTTGCAGCTCAGAGACTCGAAAGGTGGCCCTCACTTGGGTAAAAGAAGGAGGCTGGAGAGGAGGGCTCTCATTATGCAGTGGAAGTGTTGCTGAAAGAGATGATGACAGTGTAGAATAAGACACTCCACCATGAGGAGGGTCTCGGGCAAAGAGCCCACCTTGATGATCAGGGAATCTGTGTGGTTTAGTGGAGGAGGGTGTGGGAGGTGGTGGGGTAGGTGGTTGACTTGGGGTTACTCGTTGATCTTCAGTGAAGGAGAGATTATCGAGAGTCTGAAGGACCTGTTCATACACAGGCTTGCAGAGACATACCTGAGGGAAAATATGTCAAATTAAATATCAAAGTTGTGTATATGACAAATATTCAGCTGTTGTGCTATTTTGTGGTTCTTTACCTGAACAGCGTTAACAAATTTGCCTTCTACTCTTAATATCCCTGTGCTCTGGTAAGGTTCATCACAAGACAAAAAGGTAAAGGTAGAGTTTTCGTCAACAGGGACTTTCTCGACAGTGAGCTGGATTGTAGCATCTTTTAAAATGTGAAATGCTGAAAAACAAAGAAAACATAGAAACAGTTTTAAATGCCTTAAAGCATATATTAAAACATAAAGGATAAAATAAGGTTTAGTGAATTCCCAAAATTTAACTCAAAACAAAACAAACAAAAAAACTTACCTTTTCCTCTGCTAATGTACTCAAAGAAGTCATGTCGTGTAAACTGTGGCTCATTCAAACTAATGTTGCCACCATGAGAAGGTGAGGGTCCGGAAGTGGTGCTGCTGTTGAGTCTTGCTCCTTTCTTTAAAAACAAGTTGCTTGTGTTCACTGAATAAAGTCTTATATCTTTTACTTCAACTTGTAGTTTCTCCCTTTCTGAGTCTTGCCCTGTAACAAAGTTCTGAATTTGTATGCTCCCTAAATGTCCAACTAGCAGCTCAGGGTGACCAGGCTTTCTAGGAATTGACACAACTGGGGACTCTATACTAACATCTAGAGTCAGCTTGACCAGAAAAGAATCTAAGGCTGGTTCTTTTTCAGGGTCACAGAAATCATCTTCCTCGAATGGGTCAAGTGTCCAGTTGCATTGACTCTGCCTCCTAGATCTTCTGGATGGGTTGTCAAAGAGAGACACCATTCCACTGTACTCTGCTGTTTTCGTCACCAATACAGTAGAGACCTTTGTAGCAGCAGTCTTCAGCATAAACCTGAAGTTATCCTCTACTTCATTTGCTGATAAACTGAGCTCTTTCAGGAACTTTGCTGAGTGGTTATAGTGTAAAGATGCCATCTGAAGTTGAAGGGAGCATTCTCCTTGAGATTTTTCCATAAAGCGGAAACTTAAAGCTTCGGAAGGAGTCATGCCAGCAATAGGAAAGAATGCCACACCATCTGTAGCGGTGCTGTCCTCTGCACTTCCAATACTGACCACAAACTGACTTCTGCCACCTTCCTGAGTCAAGTCCACAAGCTGAATGCATCCTAGAGAACCATTGACATCCAACCGACTTCCCATTGACACATTGACTTTTGTCCCATTTATACTGGCCGTAGCAATTTTCATGCCTTTCTTCTCACCTCCCAAAACAGTACCAGTTGTAACAGTTCTTAGAAGAAGTAAGTTTAACCTGTGAATTTCAACAGTCAGTTCTTTGTTCTGGACATAAGTGGATTGATAATTCTCCTCATTTTCTTCTCCATTAGGCAGAGGTGCTATCTGTTGTGTTGGAGAGCTTTCTTCTTTAGGGAAAGACTGCTGAAGGAATTTTAGAAGCTCTACCATGGTTTCAGGGTTAAGGATGATATCCAGGTTGTTGACCTGCATGGAGGTGACTTGAAGTGAACTGTCCAAATTCATAGAGGGGCAGTCTGAGCTGATAAATTGGTATTCCAACTTAATGAGAGCCTCCTGGTCTCTTAGTGGAGAGCCCCGTGGAGATGCTTTGTCAAAAGCAAGATCTGAAGAGTTCCTGTGCAAACCTGGTAGTTCTGGAGATTTATTGTCTGGTGAAACAGGGGATGTAGGCTGGCTCTCTCGTAGACTTCCAGTAGGAACATCAAAACTTAAATGTTTATGAGATGCAACAAGAAGATCAAAGTCTGAACCATACGTTTGCAATGTGTCCACAAGATAGAGGCCATGAACTGTGAGGGAAACCATTGCGTCATAAGGCCGCTTCACAAAATGTGCATTTGTTCCAAACACTTTCAGAACAGAAATATATCGTCCACCACTTTCAATGCCAAGCTGCATGTAATTGATATTAAACTCTACCAGAAGAAGTTTAGATTCCACAAGCACCTCTCGAGTATGCTGCTCAAGTGTCATCACACTCTTGGTAAGATTTTTGTCAGAACCCTGAAGCTTCCAATCACTATCTTCCCTCTGAAAGATCTTCTCATGGCGAAGTGTAAGAGGGTCAGGAGATTTGAGATTTTCCCCATTATTGTCACCTTCATCTGCCCCTGAATTACCAAGTCTAGCCAGGCAACTTCTCAGTGCAGTCATCTTCTCCAGGTTGATGTGCACTTTGAGGTCTGGTAGTGTTCCTGAGAGAACAGCCCCTGGAAACTGAGGGTCTGAGGTGTATCGCAATCGTTGCTCTAGCTGTAGTAGGACATTGAATTTCTCTACCACATGTGTGGGCCCCACATCGCTCTCCTGAAGATGCTTCCAATTGTCTTTATAATGACCAACCATAATCTGAAGGTCATTGAAAGATAAGGAGTACTTTTCATACAGGTTCCTACTGATAATTTGGGCACCTTCTGATGATTTAACGCTGCTGAAATCACGGGGCTTCTCCTGACCTTTGACATCCACCTCTTGTTCTGGAGGTGGAGACGCAGGTGGTGTTGCTAGTGGGGTCTGGAATTCTTCATCACTTTCTCCTTCTGTCTGAGAGGTCTTAAGATTTGTTTTATGATCTTCTGTGGAAACAAAAATAAAACTGTCACAATTGACTATAAACTGCAATAAATTATTAACACATAAAAATATAAGAGCATAAAATTTGATTTGACCAGAATCAGTTACCTTGAGAATTAGTAAGAAGAATACGCCCAAGGTCTACAACAACTAGCATGGGGTCTTCAGACTGAAAATCATCCGGGAAGATGACTTGAGGGGCACAAATATCCAATTTCATAGTCCAATGTTTACTGTTCTCCTGTAAAAGGAAAACACATCAGAATTATGAAAACATTTCACAATTGATTTACTATAATAAATGAATGAGTATTGACTGATTGTAATTTATTTTTTCTCGTACAATGAACTCTCCAACAAGCAGCTGATCAATGGTTTGTCTGATTTCTGCCTTGGTTTGCATCTTCAGCTTGTTATATTGCCTCCTGGCTGCTTCAGCCACTCTCAGCTCTAACTCAGACTGATATCCAAACCCTGAAAAATATCACGTAAACCATATTGAACAGATATTTCACAAAAGCAATTCAAACTAATTTAAGAGGGATGCTTATCTATAATACAAACCCGAAGTGTGGACCCTTCCTTTGTAGAAAAACTCTGCCACTTTCTTGATAGCCTGAGGGTTATAAATGATATTAAGAGGACTGGTATTGACCTCTAGTCTCCTCTCAAATTTGCTCCTTATTGGATTACGTTCATAAATCATCTCAAAGACGGGAGGCGCTGATGATTCCACATCTGAAGCTGAAAAAGGTCATAAAAATAATTATAAGTATATAAATACATATTTTGAAAAGTTGTAGCCAATGATATCTGTAGTAGAAAAACAATATGTTGTGAAAAAAATGTTTAACAAATTTTTTTTTGCTCTAACAGGTTTGGAACAGTAGAGGGAGAGAGAATAATATTTTTTTTTTGTTTTTGGGATGAACTATCCCTTTAATCAATTACTTACCCGGATTGCTATATTCTGTGCTGTTAGTCTGGCCAAACGGTTGATTGATCGCAACAACAACCTTGTCCTTAAATGAAAAGTAATGATATGAAATCTATTATAACATTTCTATTTATGCCAAGTATCATTTCAACACAAGAAATTACTGATCTATAGCACCAAGCAACTATAAATGTATGTAAATCTAACCGGTTTTGGAGAAACTAGGACAGGAAAAATTGAGCCCTGGGTAGTGAGATCACGAAGAAACAGCCCACCAAGTTTTACTGTGAGCAAGGATGACTCAGAACGAGGTAGAGACTCAACTTCAATCTTCACACCTGCAATGCAAAATAGAAAATGTGAAAATCAACATCGAAACTGACTCAACACCATTAAAACATTAATGCAATAAGAAGTAGATACTGTAAATACCTGAAAATTCCAGCTGAATGACCCCACTCTCGCTCAAAAGAGGTTTATTTTTGTTTTCATGGTACAGTGTGACAGCTGCTTTCTCAAGCTTAAAGTCCAGCCGTGCAAAGAGATGATCCCTTCTTGTAAAGGTATTCAGTGTTTGTGAATCCTCCAAAGGGTCAAAGAGATCATCTGTCTCAGCTGTTTGAAGAAGACAGATGTCTTGTTACATGGTTCATTATACTATTTGATACAGATTTCATTTCCAAAAAGCACTGCATGTAAAATTATGTTAAACCATGATAAGCATAAATAGAAAACTGACCAAGAATTTCCCACTGTGCAGTGCCTGGTAAAAGCTCATCCGAAACCGGCTGTCCATCTGGCCCTCTTTCAGTCCCCCCATACCAACCACCCCAGCCTGGGAACCAAGACTGTAGATACTGAATCATTCCAGAACTCCCACTTTTAGGTATGGAGCCTGAGGGAGAAGTGGCTGGGGACTCATTTATTAGAGGTTCCCGTAGACTCTAAATGGATGAGAGGTACGATTCAAATTATTAATGAGTGTTTTTGGGTTACAACAGTGATCATATTAAGAGAGAAAGTGAAAGAGAGAGAGAAAGTGAGAGAAAGAGAGAGAGAGAGAGAGAGAGAGAGAGAAAGAGAGCTTTGAGTTTATTGCCAATACAGCTTCTCTGGATAATTCCATGGCAAAAACATATCAAGTTTACAAACATTTGATAAATAATACTTTTATAATGTTGTTTTATAACAAGAAGACAACATTAACATCAATAAAAAAAATACAAAAACAGACTTAAATAAACTAAAACAGTTTTTTAATATTTACTTTTTTAATAAAAAAAATTCTTATTTTTTAAACAATTTTACAATTTTTTAAGAATTTACATTTAAAAACATTTCATTTAAAATCTCTCCAGATACAAATCTTTTTTTTTTTGATACCATTAAAAATAGCTATTTCAATATTGACATCTTGTTATAATATTGATATTATATTTATTCTTCATAGGAAAAAAAGGATAACATTTCATAACATCAATACCATGACATTTTCAAAGACATACAAGTAGGATAGAAAGTAATCTCAGCTTGCCTCAGCAATTTCCTCATGCTTCCGGAAGGAGACATAAACTGTCTCCCGGAGAATCTGCAACTCCTCCAATGTCTGTTCATCTTCAATCCTCTCCATCTCACTCTATTAATGTGAAAGACAGAGTAAGTTTTCATATTGATGAACATCGAAAACATAAGTCCAAGGCACAAAAAGGATATGATTTCATTGTTTATCTTCATGAATCCCTTACCCAAAGAGCGCAGACACATTAACTACCCCTGAAGCACTTTTGGTTTGATTTTGTTTTTAAGTTTTAATATAGTTTGAAAACCATGCAAACTGATAAAACATGCAAAGCTAAAAAGCTCTTTAAAAATTATGACAGTATAGGTTTGTTCTGAAAACCCTTCTATTCTAAGTCTATAATTCTTACCTCCTCCTGTGGACTCAAAGTAACTCCTTTAAGCCTCTGGACATACAAGCTAGTGTAGAGTTTAGCATCACGCGCCCTGTGTAGAGCAAAATCCCAGCTTCCATGTCGGCGCTGCTTTCTGATCTCATGCAGGTTAGCATTAATGGCAAACATCCACCACTGTCGACAGCTTCAACAATAAAGAAAACATTATTCTAGAGAACAATACCATTGTCAAACAAAGGATTTTTCAGGTTTTAATCAACATGACCTACTGAGAAGCTTATTTCAAAACATATTTGGCTTAATTGTAATAAAATGAAAAAATAAATCTCCTTACTTTCCAGAAATAGTAAGTTTAGGTCTCCACTTTCGAAAAAGCATCTCCTTTTCCCGTCGGTCCAGTTCTTTGAGGAATGCCATGATCTGCTGATACTGAACCTGTTTTCAAACACCAGTTTATTCATTTGAGCTTACAAGAAAACAACCATAGAACACAGACTCTTCATATTTAGTGCATTTTCAATATACCTCAGAATTATTACATTTATACAGTTAGAGAACAAGCAGCAAGCGACTTCAGTATTTTGGGTGTTTACTTTATAAGCAGGCATAAAAAGGAACAAAATACAAATCAATCAAAGAAAAAAAAAAATCGATCTAGTTTACATGTTATTTCAGTTTAAGATTTAATAAATGCTGAAATTATATGGCACAAACAGCCTAAAGGAAGTTGTTACCTGTGACAGACGCAGAGAGAGGGGTTCCAGCTGCACTTGGCCCTCAATGCGAGGTGTGTTACGAGATCGTAGTGGTTCTTTGGAGGCATTCCTCCTCACCAGCACAGAGGCACATACTGGCTCAAATATATACTGATGTTCGCGGCTCTGCATACATTTACTCATCCGCTCCTGGAGCAGAAAAATAGTTTGCAAAAAGATTTACCTCAAGCATTAGTCAATGCGTCATTAAGTGTCCTAATAGTGTCAGCAATCTACCTGTATTTCTGATGAGGGAAGATCTCCAAGCATGGTGCACTCTGTGTCCCAGTAAACACTGAATTCACTGATTTCCAGCTCCTTCTGCCGGATAAGCTTTTGTGCCTGTAAGTGAAAAGCATATATTTTAAAGAAATGAATTATTTAACTTAAAGAAGGCACAGAATAATGTGAATAACGCACTGGTTCTTTGGAGCAGTTCTGTGCGGATACATTCTTGATACAAACACCGAAGGCATAGGGTTTCTCAGGGTTGGAGAAATCATCTTCAAATCGTAAGTGGACACCTTGAATTTTCAACTAAAAACATACAGAGAAATAATGAAAAATTATTGTTTTTCTGAAATTAAACCAATACAGCACCAAAGTGCAGGAAAAGAAAATTACCTCAATATTTTCAACGATTCGAGTCACAACAGATGCTGTGACGGAGTACCAGTAGGATTCACCCTTCTGCTCACATTCACTCTGGAGGAATATTTAAAGTATGCAAAAAAATTATGTTTTTCAATTGAAAATTTTATACATTACAATAAAGTGATTCATCAATCAAAGTTTAGCATTCTCATTTTACTAACAAAAATAGCAAGAAATAAAATGACTGCAAAAATAATTAACAGAAGTAAAAAAAAAATAATAATAACATCCCTGTGAATGCAATAAGTGAATGCTGATATTTCCTAGCAGCCTGTACCTTCCACTTGTCCTCTAGTGCCTTGAGCAGCTGTTTCTTCTGCTCTCTCTCAGCTTCTCTTTCTTGCACCTCATCATATTCCTGTGGGAGGGCCGGGCCGATAATCAGGTTCAGCTGGGACATGCAGATGACCCATGGATCACTGTGTGGTCGATAAAAGGGGATCTGCAGGGTGATCTTTCCAATGACACCTGCAAAGAAATACATTATGTTCATAAACAAACAATGTGTGCACTACTGATGGCAAGTTTAGTAAGGCTTTTATTAAAGTTTAAAAAGAGCAGAATGTTTTTGAAATATGAATCTTTGTAATATTAAAAACATCAATCCTAAACCACTTCATCCTTTCTGAACCATTGAACGAAAGTCTAATATTTAATATCCAAGTTATAAATAAATATCAATACCATTGAGCAAGTGATAATACCTTAATAGGTATATACAATGCAGATGTCATAATAATACTTGACAAGAATATCCAGAATACTCTACTTTGACACAATCACTAGATGTAAATAGAGTCTTAGATGAAAAAAATACCAAATTAAAATACATTCATAGAGGATTAATGGCAACTATGTAATCAATAACCTAGCTCACTTGCTCAAAGCTTACTCCATTTTAAAGTGGCAACCATGCTGTAATCACATGACCACCCAAATACTACTCATTTATATCATGGCTTCCTGAGGTTACCTAATATAAAACACTTCACGTTTGATGAATTAGGGTCACAGTGATAGGCGCAGTATAAAGTCCAAGGTGACTGTCATATCAGCTCAAAAACAAACAAATTAATTACTTAACCTTTGACCAGTTACAATAAAGTCCAGTGTGTGGACTGACACTGACCTGCTTTGACCTCAAAAGGCAGATCAAATCCTCGTAGTGCATCTTTTCTTAGTGGAAGGTTCTCCAACTCTACTGCCCCTAAATTGAAGCAAAATGCAAAGTTCACAAAATGATACACAACAGAGACAGCACACTCTGATGAGCAAAGTCTAAAACAAAAACATTCAAATACCTTTGAGAAGAGCAATGGAGAGCTGGTCAGTGTTAAGATTGCTCACATATTTGCCTAGATATGTGTTGAGCACCCAGGCAACAAGTCCTTCCAACATTATAGGAAGGAAAGAGTGCGCTGGGATTATTCAGTCAGAGTAAATCCCAGCAGGCAATGAGCTTCACAGTTAGTGTTCACTCCATTCATCTGAAGGCTGAGGAGTCAAAGAGACACAAAAGTTACATCTTATAACTGCAGCAGAGCTTCCCAATAACTACAACAATATTCTAACTAAAGACACAATTTGGTAACTTTATCAGATGATTCACTAAAAAAGACTATTATTAACACATAATATGATTTTGATTTGCAAGACTTTATCAGGTTTATATGTATATATTTAAACAAAAACAATTTTGATCCAGGTGCTGTTGTCTGTCCCCCCAACTACATCAGAATGGTAAAAATACTTGCTATCTGTACATACAGTAGACAATTAACAATAAGCTAATAATAATAATAATAATAATAATAATAATAATAATAAATATTAGTATTAATATTAATAATAAGTACATCATGGACATGATTAGAACACTTGTACCGTAAAATAAATGGGAAAGCAATTTTATCTATCAGTATTACTTTGTTATAGTGGTTAAACAGAAATCCTTATGAAAGTGACTTTTTCATATATTTAAGTCTCAAAGTTTATATTTTTTTCAGTTTATAACTGTAAAAAGCCACAATTTCCTTTAAATTTTGAAGATAATATGTTTTTGTATTCTATTAACAATAAACATGTATATTATTAATTCATGTAATTTTCACTTTTCCTGCAATAATCTGCCATTTAAGGTTTATGACAGTAGGAAATTTAATTTTAAGGTCCATCTTGAAAAAAAGTGGTTAACAGGTAATACATTGATTCTATTCAGTGCAAAAACATTACTAAATTAAAACATGATACATACATCTAATTGAAATTTAAAAAAATTCATTTTTGTTCTGTAGATTTTAGTTTCCTGGTTTTGGGCAACCATTTGGGCTTTGCATGAATTTGATTTATGAAAATAAATAAAAAACAAATAGAAAAAACATACGTTGTTGTCAGAAATAAAAGACTACACATGTGATCGCCATGGTAATTTAAAGTGAAATACAAATAATTTACATTTGTAAGTTTGCTAGGCACCCTCTAGTGGACCATTGCCCCCTAGAAAACAACCACTGCCCTAAATATCTACACAACAAACACACTAAAGTGATTAGTCTACATGACCATTTGAACAGGAGAAGCATAACCTAAGGAGCTGCCAGGTTCAGTAAGCATTCATTTTCTCTGCAATTAATCAATATAAGGAAAGTGAAAGTGAGGATGTCATTCTGCCCTACAACCCATGAGGGTGAGACAAAACAACGACTGCATTTTCATTTTAGCGTAGACAAACATTATTAACGAACAACTTACCATTGTTATGAGAGCTGCTGTTCCTCAGTCAACCGCAGTCTATAATCATTTCAGTCCAGATAAAGTTAAGATCACCGATGTCCAAGCCAATAAGCTCTCCTTGCTGGTTAAAGAGAAAGTAAAATATCTTCTTTCTTTAAAAAGAATATCCTTACATAACAAACCGCAGCTGACAACCACAACCAAAAACACACTCGTCTCTGTGTGTATGTGTGACGAACTAAACAAGCCAACTCTGTGTGACTCAACAGCAGTGACACCGGGGCAGCGTTAGCATGAGTGCTCGTCCTTTAGCACTGCACAAACAGCCACCTGCCAACTTTAAAACATGACCAACAACCGGGCACAGTGCGCGCTCAAAAACCGTAGATTAGTCCTCCACCGGTCCGGGTATCAAGCGAAATAATCCCTGATCTCTAAGCAGTTTTGTTGTGGGTCCTCTGCGTTCAACTTCCAACATGTCAAACTGAATTCACGAAATGCTTCCTGGAGCCTGCAACGCTTCCGGTCACGTGCCAAAACAAAAGCGATGTCATCATGTTACATCTAGCGCTTGGGGGTTTATTTGATGATAATTTGCATAAATCGGCGTTCAGCTGTTTATCAGCAGTCGTGCTTATTTTTAAATATTGATGAACAGGATACAAAAATAAATCACTATATCAGATCGACCTGTTATGTAAACTTAAGTAAACGCGTCATACTATTGGTTCAGTTTTCAAGACTGCAGTTCTGATTTCCAGCATTGGAGGGCGGCAGAAGTGAACGTTTAAGTTAGTTGTTTACCCCACGGCTGGCATTCAACTTAAAAATGGTCAAATTTCAATGTTTTGTAAACAAATAATTACTATCAGTTTTTTAATGTTGTTATATATTTGTTTAAATAGAACAACAGCATGAATAGTTTTTAATTTAAGAATATTTTTAACTAGCATGGAAAATACCATTTAACTTGACACAAATAGCAAACAATTACAAATGTGCTCTCAGAATGCCTCCAAATTATCGTCAAACCTCCAAAAAGCAGAAGCAAATAGAATATATTGAAGTAGTGCGGATACATTTTTGCCAAATATGTCAAACTAACTGTATGAGATCGCTTGAATAAGGGCATTACAATATTAGGCTAACATAATAATATATTTTGCTGTACTATCTTTATTTAAGAATGACAGTAATGCAACTTAAAGGTAGCTTTTACAGCTCAAAAAAACAAGAAAACACTTTAGTTATTCATGATCAGTTGTCTATATCTGCCATTTACAAGTATAATTTAAATGTTCCATATTAGACCTTAGTATATAAAAAAATTGTGTGTGTTTATACGAGGGTTGAAATTTCTTTATTGTATATTGTATACAGACAGTAGCTACTACTAAAACCAGTACAACTATTACCAATAGAATACTATTATGTGAAGTACACAGTAAAAAATAGCAAATCAGCAGTTTTTCATATTTTGTCATTCATGTTTTTTTATTATTATGGTTTTGAATTGCATTATGAGACATTGATCTATCTTTCAACAATATTTTACCTTGAAAAGTTCGAAAAAGTTGCTGTTGTATAATACGGTACAAAAACTTGTCCGGTACATTTCTAGTTATCTAAATATTTTTGGTAAACATTATTTTAAACTACTGACATGTCAATAAAATTCTCTTTATTAAACTGACCTGGACAGCATCATCAAATAAATACAGTGTCAATTCTCTAATGTTGATCCTGGACCATCATCATCATCATTTATGTTAATAAGAACCATCATCATCGTTTAAATACGGTATAAATTTACCAATTTTGATCCTGAAACATCATCATCATCGTTTATGTTGATCCTGGACCATTATCATCATATATGTTGATCCTGGACCATCATCGTTTATCTTTTGTCCTGGACCATCATCATCACCGTTTATGTTGATCCTGGACCATTATCATCAATTATGTTCTTCCTGGACCATCATCATCATATATGTTGATCCTGGACCATCATCATCATCGTTTATCTTTATCCTGGACCATCATCATCACCGTTTATGTTGATCCTGGACCATCATCATCATATATTTTGATCCTGGATCATCATCATCATTTATGTTTATCCTGGACCATCATCATCATCGTTTATGTTGATCCTGGACCATCATCATCATCGTTTATAGTGGTCCTGGACCATTATTATCATTTATGTTGATCCTGGACCATCATCTTCATCATTTATGTTGATCCTGGACCATCATCATCATCATCATCATTTTTGTTGACTCTGTACCATCATCATCATCATCCTCATTTATGTTGATTCTGGACCATCATCGTCATCATCTTCATCATCATCACCATCATCATTTAGTTTGATCCTGGACCAGCATCATCCCAATTTATGTTGATCCTGGACCATCATCATCATCATTTATTTTAATCCTAAACCATCATCATCGTCATCTTCATCATCATTTTTGTTGATCCTGGACCATCATCATCATCATCATCATCATCATCTTCATCATTTTTGTTGATCCAGGACCATTATCATCATAGTTTCTTTTAATCCTAAACCATCATCATTTTCATCATCATCATCTTCATTTTTGTTGATCCTGGACCATCATCATCGTTTATGTTGATCCTGGACCACCATCATCTTCATCATCATTAACCTTGATCCTGGACCATCATCAACACCATCATCATCTTTTATGATCATCCTGGACCATCATCATCATCATTTTTGTTGATTCTGGGCCATCATAATTTTTTTTTGATCCTGGACCATCATTATCATCATTAAAATGCAGAATATATTCACCAATGTTGATCTTGGACCATCATCATCATTATTTATGTTGATCCTGGAACATCATCGTCATCGTTTATTTTGATCCTGGACCATCAATATCTTCATCATCATCGTCATTTATGTTGATCCTGGACCATAATCATCATCGATTATTTTGATCCTGGACCATCATCATCCTCTTTTATGTTGATCCTGGACCATCATCATCATCATCGACATCATTTAAATACAGTGTAAATTCACTAATGTTGACCCTGGAGTAAAGTCTCATAATGCAATTCCCAAACATAAATACGGAAAACACACAAAATACTGAAGCTGTTAATTAACAGGTTTTTTTTTTAGGTAAATGAGCCCTAGTCAATAATTGTCAATAGATAGTTGGGCGTTTGCATTTAACTTTTGACAGAGTTGGATTGAAGGGAGTGAAAGAATATTTTATAATACTCTGGCACAATAATTTGTTCTTGTTTATTGTTTTTATGCATTTATGCACTAAGTATACAGTATTTCTTTTAATATGACATTAAAAGAAATATTGCATTATTTCTAGACCTCGCTCATTTATCTATTCCTTGCTGTTTTTTGTTGATGTTCTTGCATCTTTAATTACTGAATTTACAGTACAGAGATGGCATAACTTTATAAGATCTGACCACATGCACTAAGCAGAGTAATCCACGCAAACCCTACATCTAGTGTAATCTGCACAGGCCTTCCAGAGGCTGCAGTTTTAGTTATTCCACCTTCCCCCTGCCTGTTTCAGATGCAAGTAGGCATCCAGGACTGTCATATATCTTGAGATAAAATACGCCAGTCTGCTGCCAAGCACACAAAATAACAATAATCCCAGCACATGTGGAGCTCTGCACCCCCCTGTCCGGTCGTGTGCAACCACATAATCCCAGGCTGCTTACAATAGCAGAGAGGGCCATCTGTTCAGCTCATAGGCCTTTAAAACAGCACATCTGGCCAGTGGAGTGGGGGCAGCGATCCTCCCTCTCTCTCTCACTATAAAACTCTTCTTTTCTGCCCTCCCATCTGAAGTTCACTAATGAGATTAGATGTTCTGCCATACTGTATTTTTACTCAGCATGTTCATTACAGAGATTACGACGATTACTGATATCATATTCGTCTATAAGCATAAATGTCTCTTTCTGAAGTTAATATTAAGTGTGCAGTTGTACAATTTAAACTGAATATAACTGTATATCTTAACGTATGATAAATTGATGCTTGTAGACTTATTTTAAGTTACCATCCCAAAAGCCAACAAAAATATAGCTGCAAGGAGCTATTTTCGGGGCAAAGCAGCCCAGTGGCCACATTATAAACAAGCACAGCAACAAGCTGCAGAGCAACTGGAAAATTCTATAACTTAGCAACCTGGTCTGAGGCAAATTTGGTGGAAATTAGGCCAACGATCTATGGAGAGTTAAAAACAAACAATTTTTGAACTAATTCAAAATAATGAACAGGAAGGCGTTTCAATTAGGGAATAAATTATATCAATGTTCTCTGTATGATCCAAGGAATCTAGCAAGACCAGCCTCATGACATTTTATACATGTAGTTTGAACAAACAGCAAATGGTATTTTTTCAGTGTACATTCTTATAATTTGCTATTTATCCCTTATGTGCTGTTAGGGATGTTTTCATTGACTCAGTGCTAATTTTGAGTCTTAATTTGGTCACAATTTTATCTTTACTCAGAAATTGGAATGATATTCCTACAAATCTTATTTTGACATATTTTTGGATTTTTATTTATTTATTTAAAAAATTCATGCTGGGCAAATTGACTACCATTTCGTTATGTTGGTGGCTGTTTTTTCCCCAATTACTTCCATTGCAATGACCTTTTTTATTGCAAAGTCACGACAGCATATAATTATGCATTCTTAATTTTTGGTGGTTTTCCCTTTTGGGAAGAGGTACATTTACAAATTTTAACTGTTGATCATTAGTTGCAGCACAAAAAAGGTTAAGAAAAAGAAAAGAAAATGGAAAAATGGTAAAAGGAAAAAGGTGTGAAAATGGTTGTTCAAACTACTTAATTAACAATCACATAATCACTTAATTAACATCACATTTCTTAAGATTTTTTTGGGAACAACTTAATTGTTTTATGTACAATCTATTACATTTTAAAAGCTAGTAAGTTTACTTAATTTCTTAATTTATCCCTACACAAATCAGTTGTGTGGAACCTTTTTTTTTTTTTTACAGTGTATGGAGTATTGTTTGTGTGAGCATGTGCTAGTATGCGAGAGAGACATTTGTGCAGATATTTTGATAAAATAAAAAAATAGCAGCTCAATAATAATACACATAGTAAGTGTATTTATATACATGCACACACTATAGTCTGCTGTTTTACTCCACAAAACTCCATATAAATGTCAGAAACAATTTTACACAAGTGATGATCAACAGTAAAAATGAAAAGTTTTACCTCTTCCCAACATGGATAAACACCAACAGCTAAGAATTCAAGATTATTTGGTACCATGGTTTTGCAATCAAAATGTGGTTATAATGGAAGTCAGTGGGGCAGAAACACAATTAAAGGGTAGTCAATTTAGATGAAATTTAGATGAATGCCTGCTGTGCCAGATTTATGCCAATTCTGGGCCAGAATTCTTTGCTAACTGGGTAGTCAAATAGTTTTCTCATTTCCAGTCATCTACT